GGGTCGGAAAATGGGGATCGATGTGCGATGAACGATGAACAACAGATGGAAGGTTAGGTTAGGTAGTTTAAGTGAGGAACATCCATAAACTTGATCCCATGATTCCTTTCTCCCATCGTACCCGAATCCGGGGGCAGTTTCCCTGGAACACAAGAGTACGCTAAAGTTTAGACCAATCAAGTCAAAAGGTTGTTTTTACATATAGAATGGATGCACCCCTGTCACCTATCTAGCATAGGTACATACATTACCTAGGTAGGTACCTATGTATTGTACATACCTACATACGATATGTTAGGTGCACTAGTGTAATCGTTACAGGTGCCTTGTCTATCTTGTCCCTGTCCTGGCTTCCCTAGCGCTAGAGAACGGGTACTGCATAGGTACCTCGCAGGGTTCATTACGCAGGCGCGACAGGGAGACGTACAGAAAGACATGGTATAGCTTGCCCCTGTAGCGGCCCCAGCCCCTCGCACCAACAGTAGAATATGTAATAAATAAAAACGGGATAGGTTCACAGGTAAAACCCCTCCTTCCTCCTTCTGCTTGCCCCTCCTTTGCCCTCTTTTGCTTAATAGATCCATCCCACCAGAAACAAAAACCCACTCCGGAGAGAGCAAAAAGGAAAACCGTCTTTTTTTTGTGATGTGATATGATATCTATGCGGCTGGAATCCTCCACGACCGAGTCCGCAACTCTCCGATAAGCCAAATCTAACTATTGTAACTGTTTTGTAGATTTTCCTCTTCACTTTCCTCTTCTTCTTCCTCTTCTATTCCTTTTCACTTACCAATAAGATCAATATTCCGTCTTCTGTCTTCAGTCTCTCGCGTGTTATTGCGAGAGAAATGTATGACCGCGAGACCGATCCCGCTATACAACCTAGGTAGCTAGATGAAGGGCTTCTGTCGTTCGATGACCTCACTAGCGTATCGTTGTTGTCGACTCGATGGCCATTTCCACACTGCTAACGAATAAAACATTGCGATAATAGCGATAATAACCACATCAGATATCCACTCTACTGTATGTTCGTCCCTCTCTAATCCACTTTACCAGGCACACACACACACGCATACGCTTCGTATAGCTCTTCATTCGTGCATATTTTCATACTGCCAAGCCTCCTCAAGTGTCAACTTGTCCCTGTCAAAATGAGTAAGGCCTTAGGCGGTCTTTTACAATAATATCCTAGGTAGTGTACGCATAGCGCTCCCCCGTATTATAACATGGCAACATGGCTACATACTTGGGTACACATATGTCCATCCATCCATCCATACATATCCATCCATACATACATACCTATCTACATCCATACATTACATCTTGATACATACTAAAAGAAAAAAGAAAAAGAAAAAAGAAAACATATACACACATGTGTGTCTTTCCCGACTTTGACTAGGGAACCCCATCTATCTGGGCCGCAACCCATCACAAGTAAATCACTGACAAGCCGACCATCCCAACCCTCCCTCCTCTTGTCTACCTACCTATCTCATCATCTTGCTTCATCACCCCTCCAACATTTATTTCGCTGCGGATCCCCTCTCTCTTCGCCTCATCCCTTGCCACTTGCCAACTGCCAACTGCCAACCCTATTTTTCTTCTCTTCTCTTGCGCAATATCAATATCAATATCAATATCTATCGATATCATCTAACAAGTCAGAGTCCCGGTGGTCTTTAATCCCAAAAATCATTGGAACAAGTTCTTCGGTTAGTTCTCAAATCAGAGACCCGCACGAATTTATTCGGCTTTCGTCCACATTCAGCTTGATCGACCCCAACTCTTACTTCTGGACCCAGTCTCCTCGGTGGTTGGCTAGTCCCTGGCCTAGGCTCTTCCTGGTTCTTTGTTCTAACTCGCCATTCGGGATGAATGCGCGCTCGATAGAAGCACGGTAACTGGTTAGAAAAAATAATAATAATAACCCACTCGAAAACCATATCTTCTTTGTTGATGCTATTCTAATTGCATCCAACGTAAAGATAACCTTCAAATTCCCCCTTACCCGTGGTCGCAACATTCCAAGGACAAACATCCGTCATTCTTGAGCTTATTCCGTTCTAAGCCCACCTGTCTCAGTTTCAGCCGTTGCCCGCTCGACCTGACTCGAACTCCCTCCCCACCGAGAATTCCCGGCATCTTAGTACACATCACTGGGAACACAACCATTTTCAGAATATCATTACCCGTTAATCCACGAGGAACAGAGTTTGCGAATGAATTATATCAAACTTTCATCATTATCTCCCTTTTCCTCTCCCCTTTCTTCTGCTACTTTGGCCGCCGCATTACTCCCCTGCCATTTTGATCTACCGCTATTCGTCCCCCCCCGTTTCTACTACGTGTCTTAAAAGGCTCGCCTTGGATATCTAGACCCTGAGAAGTTGGGGTTCTAGAAGCAATATAAAATTACCGGCTTGCCTACTAGGGTCGACAGCTACTTTACATCTACCGGATACTGGGAAGTGTGCTATGGCGGCTACTTTCCGGCCTGTCAACACACCCATGGCGATAGAAGTGAAGAAAGATGACGGGGCGGCGCGGTCGCCCACAACACCGACCCCGACGAAAACCAGCTTCGGCCAACGACCATTGCCTACGTCGCCATTTCCACAGGCAGTCCAGATTCCAGAAAGTATCGATGAAAGGCAGACTCCGAAACAAACACCCAAGCGAGAGAATTCTCAGCATTCGAGAAAGTCGCGAGGAGGCTCCGAAGATGTCGATATGGATGAAATAGATGGAGAAAATCATGGAGACGACGGCGCTGGATCGGATGACGAAAGCGTGAATGCGGATGGAACAAAGTCAAATAAGAAGAAGAAATCACAACGATTTTACTGCACCGAGTATCCACCTTGTAATCTAAGCTTTACAAGAAGCGAGCACTTGGCTAGACATATTCGGTACGATACTACGACTTTTTTTTTTTTTTTAATATTGATCGTGGCTAACAATTTTAGGAAACATACTGGAGAGCGTCCATTTCAGTGTCATTGTTCGAGACGATTTTCACGGCTCGATAACCTGCGGCAGCATGCACAGACTGTACATGTCAACGAAGATATACCGATAGATTCTCTTGCCGCCACAGGTACAAGGTTTCAAAGACAAATTCGGACCGATCGAGTGCGACAACCTGGAAGAGCTCGGGCTTCGACAGCAGGGAGCATGGGTTCCCCGCCTCGAGGCCATGCCAAATCCCTTTCTACGTCGAGTATCAGTTCTGTTGGTTCAAATTTCAGCGGTCGCGATGATGTGCGCCGACGGCCACCTCCTTTAGTCATGGCGGATCCGCGGTCCCGGCTCTCTATTGAAACTTATCATAATACAGAAAGCGCATATTCCTACAGACCACCATCTCCGAGCGATTTCAGTACACCAACCTCGGCAACCTTTTCGACCGGCCAGAATAGTCCCCGATGGGGATCCGCCATCGCATCACCAAATTCATCCCATCCTCGACCTCAAAACATGTACGCCGGCCATAGAACACCAGGCCGTCGCCTAAGTGTGCCGTCTGGCGGCATACCCTTTCAATCTCCTCATGGAGCTCCCTTGGGTCGCCCTCTTTTCGGCCCGGGCGCCATGAACACTTCAAATCCCGGTGCTTTCTCTCCAACTGGGAGCCTGCTGGGATCTCCCACGTCCTCCATATTTTCTTCGAGACGCGAATCTACATCACAGACGGAGGATTGGCGTCGCCGCACATGGCATCCCGACTCAACTAATTTCAGCACCGTTAACAGCAGTAGCCGCTTAAGCAACGTCGTAACTCCATCACAATTTCATAACCCTGTCCATGTCCCTGTTGCGCCACAGCAGAGCACGACACTTCGGCTACCCGGGATCGAGTCGTTCGGTCCCATCCCTCATCGCCCAGTATCTCCTATTAGGCGGAACCCCTCTCCTATGATTGTTGACTCCGAAGTTGCTCATCCACCAGCTATGCTTCCCCTAACCCATTCCGGAGATCCCGAAGAAAGGCGCAGTACAGTCCACTGGGATATGGGTTTACATCGAGGTCTAACTCGCTTAGATATCACGTCTAACCTACCATCCTCGGACGCAGCCGGCACTTGGACCCGTGAAGCGAACCAAGCTGTTGAGGTTGAAGTGGACCGAATGAGAGTAAATCCCCCGACAGTGCGGTTTAACGAACCTGTAGTCATTGAAAGTAGACCGCCAGGTGCTGCGAGCCTTGCTAGGGCGTATCACCAACACACTATGTCAGCGCCTTCGATCGCTACTTCGAGGGAGTCCAAACGGCGTGGTTGGTATAACGGACCCGTAACAGTTCATGCCGATGCCCCTCCAGAGAAGATAGCACGGGTAGATCGGATGGTTCACCCAAACATAAACGAATTCGCAGGCTTCCCAGCGAGAGAAAATACTACAAATTCCCAACCTAGGCAAGAAAATTCTGGTGAACGGGATAATATGCTTCGGTTGCAGGCCCTTGTAGCGGTTGCGACAAGCGAAGGAAATGCGACGACCGCATATTAGACAATGTACTGTCTACGCCTATAAGCTTGAGGCTATAACCATACCAGATAAACTACGTCGCTCTACCACCACCACCACATACAGTACACACATATCGAACCTTTCGCCTGCAGATCGCGGCGGATTAACGAGACTCATGATTTCTCTTGGTATTTTGTTTTCTTAGAATCAAGCATTTGCATGATACACGATCGCTACTTGACTTACGAATATACCTTCCTGCACGGCTTGCAGTTGCATTTATCATTATCATTGGACGGGGTTATATTATGGCGGTACGGACTGGCGTTGCAGGTGGAGAACTTGTTTGCGACGGAGAGATAGTGAGGGCCGGCCATGTTCATTCGTTGCGTGGCAAAAAAAACACCTCCTGTCCTCCTCATCATGTGTGATTCTTCAAGGATCCTTTCGTTTCATTTTGCCTTGGATAGGTCGGCCGCCATGGACTTACATAAGATAGGGGCTCCAGCGATGATTTTCTAGCTGATGATTGATGACACGAACCTGATACCCATTCATTTCAAGATGAGGGGAATCGCAAGACGGGGGAATTAATAATAGTCTTTCGCATATCCTCTTTTGCGTGGTTGCAAGTATAAAGTTTCTTTGGAGCTTTATTAGCCTGCCGCTTCGCTGATTAGACAAGAGCAGAGACTTTCTTTTTTTTTCTTTTTTCTTTTTTGAAAGGGCCGGGGCAGTCTGGATACTTGCGTCCTGATGGATTGATACCCCAAATTTCTCTTGGATCCTGTCGGATTTATCATCTCCTTCGCTATTATTCTAGTATATGATTTTAAATATACTTGTTAAGACGACTACTCAAAGTTCAGGACCAGTAGCTCAGATAGATAATCACAGCTCTCGTTCGGTATTTGGTTTGTCCATGACGCTATGTTTATAGTAGAGATGTTATTAGTTAAAATATGTTATCCAGTAAAAACATTATTGTTTTATTGTCTCGTCCTTAGAGATGACGGATACGATTCCAGTGAGGCTTCCCGCCAATAACAAAGAACGACAGAACAGCGGTAGCAGCTGATATAAAAGCAAATACAATATTCATATTGCCATATCCGATCCCGTCACGAAGAGCTCCTGCCACGACAGGACCGATAGTAAGCCCTGTGCAGAAGAATAATGAATTGAAGCCGTACAGCTGAGCGTATGGGCCGTTAGCACCAAAGAACCCCGGATTGGCCTGATTGAATTTCCCAACAACGTCGCTGGCCTCAACCACACCAAGCGAACCTATTATGGCCAGGCCCACGCCATTCAGGGATAACATGGCGCAGTATAGGATAACGTTACTTGTTCCAGATAATAGGTTGTCCGATGGGAGTCGGAGCAGAATGAAGGGGGGAACTAAGTATCCGAATCCAACGACGGCAGCTAACTTGGTGCCATATCGGTCTACTGCCCACCCAGCTACGGGCCCTAGTATGAGATAGGGAACATCTAGAGCAATAAACAGAAGTCCTGCCTGTAGCGAGGTGAATTCGAAGAGGCTCTGCGCTTCTGTCGGGATCGTGGCATCAAAAACGGCTAGGAGAGAAGCTTGGACGAATGCTAGGACCATCCCTACAAGGAGTCTAGGGCTCCGGAAGCAGACTAGTATTGGAAATGCTCGGACGATTCGGTCAGGTTCGTGGCGAATCTTGTATATCTCGTTGTCTTTGAGGTTTTTGTTATGCAATAAGGCGTCGTGTTCGGTAGCATCTTCACGATTATTAGCGTCTTCGACGTCTTCACCTTGGGCTGTTCCATAGTCTTGATACGAATCTTGCTCCCCATTCTGAGAATGCGGTATTTGACCGACATTATACTTAGCAGCTGTCTTCTTCTCCACTACTAAGAGTCGCATGAGGAAATCAAGTCCCAAAACACCCGCGGTCACCCCGAAAACACCCGAATATCCGGTCTTCTCATATAGCACACCCCCGATGACCGGCGCCATTAGTTCACCCACGGAGATGAAGGAGAAGATGGAACCGACGACTTTCCCTAAATCCTGCGGGCCGACGGTGTCCAAGATCATGGCAAAGCCGATGGTCCAAACGACTGCCGCGCTGATCCCTTGTAGGATCCTAGCGACGAAGAGCACGGGTATACTCTGTCCCAGAGCTAGCATAATGGTGGCTGCTAGCAAAGCGGCTAGGCCACTTAGAAACGGGGCCTGCCGCGAACTCGTCCGATCCGCGATCCACCCGGCCGGGACGGAGGAGACGACAGAAGCGCCTGCATAGGCGGCCAAAAGATTGGAGACGTAAGACTGTATCTCATCTTCAGGTATGGATAACCTATTGCGTAACATGAAGGGTAAGACGGGAACCACCAATCCGTACAAGAATAAATCAGTGAAAAGCCCAACGGCGACAGTGGCAATGATGAATAGCGTATTAGAACGCCAGTGGAGAGCCCCGGGTGCGCTTTTATCAGACGCCATCTCGAATATGTATGTGTTATATGATATGTGTTAAAGTGGTAAAGTGGTAAAGTGGTAAATGGTTTATGAGATGTAGTTGGGAAGTGAACATCGAAGCTTTATTATTGGATGACTTCAATGATCTTGTAGATATTTGTGTTCCTGCAGATCGATGACCTCACACCCGAGAACTCGACAGCCACAATTATCTTGCCTGCAATCAGGGGGGAATCATAATTTGAGCTTCCGAGCCTGGTACATATATGCCAGAACTGTATAAGTCGTTCTACAATATAATTCGATTCTTCTTTCTCCTTAGTTATCCCTCATCACTAATAATATTTATTTATCACTTATAACATTATCACTTATAAGGAAGCATACAACTCATCTAGTTCGCCTCCCCAACACATCCAATCACTTAATCCATCTTCATCCACGGGGGTAGAGTATCGTACTGCTCCCACTCGACAGGAATTTTCATAACAGCCGAGCGCGTGAAAATATGCATCTTCCCGTTCCAATCCAAGCCTTCTATGCAGCCGCCCTTAATACTAACAGACGAGCGAGGCGTCCCGTCTGCGCTTATGATGCGGTGAATCATGCGCGAGCCGCACTCGGAACAGAAATAGCAATCTAAGGAGCGCCCGTTATTGGTAGGTCGCCTGAAGACTTTTAGACGAGACTCTAGCTCGGGCGAGAGAGGGAATAGTCCCTCGGCTGGGAAGATGGCGGATGTACCGAAAGCTGATCCGCTCTGTCGTTGGCATTCTGTACAGTGGCAGTAGTACATGGTGATCGGCTTCGCTGTCGGCGTTGGGAACGAGACGTAGCCGCATTGGCACTGTGCTGTGAGCGGCTTAGCATCTGATGAGGCCATCGCGGATTCCTTTCTATTAGGGATGTAGAGTATTGGTCAAGACCAAGGTCTTGAATGTCGAGGACTTGAATGGTATATATATATTTAAGTGGGCTATGATTAATATATTGGTAAAGATGTAAAAGATGTAAATATAAAGAAGACAAGAGCTGGAAGAAACATCACTAACTTAGCTACTAAGTGAATATGTAAATAAACGGGTTATTATCTACCCGTGTTGTGCAATTATCCCAATAGGGGTAGATGGGTTGGAGTATCAAGGCCATATATAAATTGCAGGTCAGTATATGTCATAGATACTATGGTAGGGAGTTATACTTGGCTCTAATACGGGTTATGAATATTCTGTAGTAATATAATGCGTAGGTAAGTTTCTCTTCAGTAACCTATCTACCTTCCTGGTCGGAGTCAGACCTTAAAGACCGCAAAGCAGTACAATTTAAATCATACTTTGTCAAAGAGATTGACGCTTCGGACGTTGTTCTAATCGACCATGCTAGTTTAAAAGTCTGTAGTATATGTCTGTAGGATGTAGTACATATATTTAGAATATCACATTGCGAAGCGGTAATAGAAAATAAGGGGTGATAAATTTAGGGGAATGCAAAAGGGGCAAAAATGCTAAAAAAGAATTAGCAAAAAAAGCTCGGAACTGGAATTGAATCCAGGACCTACGAAAAACTACTTTGTAAGCATCGTACTGTCAAGTCACGGGCATACCGGTCCAGCATATGACACCACGGTGCAGTTTTCTCTAGCCTCCAGTCACCCAGGGTTACTTCCTTTTTGCGGGGTCGGCTAAAAGATGCTTTGCAATTATGTCTTATAACCTTCCTGTCGCAGGTGTGCTAGGCAACCGTGTTAACCACCTGTATTTACAGTAGAGTCATCGCTAAGATACTGCAAGTAGCAACCAGGTGTAGTTACCAGCTGGCAAACCCGGTAGCCCACCTTCACTTCGCCACGCAACTTCAACTACGGACTACAAGAACCACGAGGTTGCAAGCACATATGATGAAGTATAGGTAGGTACCTAACCTTTCTTATATCCCGACTTTCATCAATATATAGCTTCCCTTCAGGTTCTTATATGTATGGCTTCTAGGTAAATCAGTTGGGTCTAAACACTTCTCATACAAGATTCCTTAGGTACCTAATAATTCTCCTAGGATATCTTCCTCCTTATTATTCCCCCTTGCTGTATGCCTTTAACATTCCTGCCTCACTTCAGGTAGAATATTTCTTGAACTTGAGCGTTATACTGATGGGACATATGGCAAATTTCAATCATTACCGTACATGTTCTATCAAGTGTTTGGGAATAGATCTATGTGAGTTCGAAAAAAGATTCTGTTTTCCGTAGAAGGATATCGGGCTGGTCTTTAGCTCGGAGAAAGTAGGCTACATAAATCAGAATTATATATCTTTTAGAGCGTATGTGTAAGAGTGCATAGGTACCTATATACTAAAGATTATTTGATGCTACATTGTCTCCGTATCCGTGCCCCGCAGGGTGCCCCTTTTACCTCTGACCAGATCGAAATACGGAGCTAGGGGCTGGGGGGGACTAAAGAAGTATGTAGATTAATCCCGCTTCACGCCAATTACACCTACCCGACGCAGCCCAAATACACACACCAGACACACGAGCAATATCCAAGCAAACATGGCCCAGAAAACAACGCGATATCCGACTATGAGGGCACCAGGGGAAGCCTTGTCTGCGTATTGCGAACTATTGGTCACGGAGGCGCTGATTACCGAGGTCAGGGTCAGTCCGATGGCGGTGCTGAGCTGTGCGCAGGTATTGAACACGGCGCTACTTAGAGCCTGCATGTGTTTGGGAAAGACGTCGGAGACTACGAGCAGACCGACGGTGAAGAGAAGATCGCAGCTCAGAGGAGCAAGGATCTGTGTGTATATAGTTAGTGGGATGGTTGTGTTGTAAATAAAAGGTTACGCCTGCAGAAAATTCCATTAGAGGTAGTGAAGTTTCTTACCTGTGCGAAGAACGCGTCGTACCAATACGGCCACTCAGGTCGGACGAGTGTCATTAAGAGTGGTGCTACGGTGCTTAATCCTGAAGAGATAAATACTGCCCACATGACCGGCACACGATTCACGAAGATGCTAATAGAAAGGTTGGTCAAGGCGCCAGCGATGAGAGAGGGAAGAATTCGTAGCGATGCCCCAAGCGCTGAGTTGCCCTGGACTTCTTGAAAGCTAGGACAAGTCAGTAATTACTTGATAGTCCATCCATCCGATAAAGGCTGGAATTGAGGAGGCACTAATAACTAGAAGGGCGATGTTAGACGCCTGGCGGATGTTGTTTATATCGGCTGACAGTGTTCTAAAAATGGGCAGTTATTACACAAAGGCATCATTCAGAGGTCGAGAACTCTTACGCAAAAGCATATGATAATGTTGCTAGACCTAGGGAGAATCCGATCGGCGCGGCAAATCCTGGACACGCAAAGCCCATGTTACGCGGCCGTCCATCCTCGATGCTCGTCAAGACAATAGAGATAGACGAGGGGAGTGAATTAGAGTCGCATATAATAAGTAATGACATTTATGACATTATAAGATACCTTTTTCTAACAATTAATTACACTTCACGATAACACTATTGGTGTATAAAGATTAAGGAACTTGATTTTCCTTTTGGTTTCGTAACTTCAATGTTCGTAATTTACGAAGACTGTTAAAGGTTAGGTAGTTAGGTAGTCTAAGTCTAAGTCTAATAAGCAGGCTAAACACGAACCGATTTCCGGAATGATTAAATGAAAATTATGAATATCCTTTAGGTTAGTTATATCTATCTATTAAGTAAAGTATATCATATATCAAACAGAAAACAATTTATATTTCCTCATGCAACCTTAAGCTTTAGAGCCTCCCGATGGCGTAAGCCACGCATGCAGATGTAGTGCAACATCGACGCGTGGGCCAACTTAGATCTCATCAAATCACAGCTTCGGGTTGCTATTAATTCCGGTAAGGGGTTAAATGCAGGTGACAAGTACCTTTGCATTTCTATACGGGGAACCTATCATAGCTTCTAATAGTAGCAACTAAAAACATCTTAGCCTAGGCAATTTACCAGTCAACCTCACACTTAAACTGGTACTTTCTACCTCTTGCTGCTCATACTGTTGCTAGTCATATTGTGACCCTTAAATACTAAGTTATAAGGCAACTCCCCTTAGAATCATTGCTCATAACATAGATATTAATATTACAAGAAATCCGGTGTCTAACTCGTTCATAAGCTATCCATTTATCCGTTCCCAATTCGGCAAAAACTGAAGTCCGCTTGTTGTTCCTGAACTAGCCAAGGATATAGTCTCGCGGCTAAAGGCCTTCGTGATGCTTGGTGCAATATAAAACCCCCTATCCCCACAAAGACAATTTGACCCCTCAACGCCGAGCCGGGGTATTGGAAGCCTGATCTGTAATACCTGCATATATGTCCACGTTCTGCTAAATGGTGGATACCACACAATAGGTCTGGAAGTAAGTATTGAAACGGAATTGTCGTACTACTACTATATGCGTTACAACGGACGATATTACCAGGTTCCGGACGATCTAGCCGTCGCCGCCTGAACTAGGAATATATATATATATATATGTATGTCGATATACTTTCCAACAATGTCGAAGCTGTGAATTCCGTTTATCTTGTCTTTTGTACTGAATAGTTGCCCATTGCCGCCCATTCAAAATGCTGTTCGAGTCTATGATCACCGCGTTCGCGTTCGCTCTCTGCGCTTCTGCTAGAGCTGTCCCGAACCCCATCGAAGTTTTCAAGCGTGCGCATACGCCCGGCGTCGTCATTAACAAGTGCTCCAAGCCTGGTGTCCTTGCATTGGCCTATGACGATGGTCCGTATCAATACACCTCGTCGCTAGTAGATACTCTGGATAAGGCAGGCGTAAAAGGAACCTTCTTCTTCACTGGCACTTTGTACGGTATGTAAACCGTGCACTGTTATATACGTTGGGTACATAGGCTAATCGAACTAGGTTGCATTTACAACCAGAAGGCCGCTGTTAAGAAGGCCTATGACTCTGGACACCAAGTTGCGTCTCACACGTGGTATGACTACCTCTTACAGGTTTCTTTTTAGGTTATGAAAGATTTGGGATATCTGCTAAGACTTCGTATAGGACCCACCCCCATATGGGAAGCATGAGCGCTGCCCAAATCAAGAGCGAGATGGAGAAGGTTGAGCAAGCATTTGTCAACATCTTCGGCAGAAAACCGCAGTACATGCGTCCTCCATACCTCGAGACCGGAGGTCAATTCTTGAGCGTCATGAAGGAGATGAACTACAATGTCATTACTGACGATGTAGATGCTGGTGACTGGAATAACCAATCTCCGCAGCAGAGCCAGCAGAAGTTCCAACAAGCCGGTGCTGGCGGTAACGGACACATCCCACTCATGCACGAGACGTACCAGGGCACAGTCACTACTCTGACGAACTGGCTGATCGACTGGGCCAAGACTAACAACCTGAAGATCGTCACAGTTGGTATGTATTACTCGCATAATCCTTAGAGAGTTAATAACTAATATCATTGCAGCCGAATGCCTCGATGATGCCAACGGTGCTTACAAGGAGGGAACATTCCCAAGCAACGGACAATCGTCTTGCTAAAAGGTACTCTGGGGTGTCTATGATCGGCGAGGAACATGCAATCCGGCTATTTACAAGTGACTAGCCTGGTTTGAATGTCTTGATAGTCTCATAATATTCATAGTATGATCGATTGCAGCTGGCGGACTATAGCCTATAGCAGGAGCCTTGAAAAAAGTGCACATATTGATACATATATTGATAGTTAAATTTTGACCAACAATCTATCGACTTGATATGTTGGATAGGTAGGTAGCTAAGGTAGTCAAACATGTCAGTATCCTATTTTAACACTCTTTCCTAGGTATTGATGTAGATTATCTTGATGTATGCCAGCGCCGGCGTGTTTATTAGCGAGTTTACTACCTAGGTACCTTATTAGTGCGTTTAAAGGACTCTATTTAAAGGACTCTATTTAAAGAACTCTACATAACTTGAAGCCCCTAAATGGCGTTTAAGCTTAAGACGTGGGGGGAATATCGATAAGGTATGGACGTGGGTATGTATAGGTATGTACATATGTACATGTGCAAACCATCCCGTAAGCAGGAAAAGGCATCGACGATCAGTGGATCCGCGTAGAATTTCCGCCCTTCCCCATGTTTTATCTCTTTTTTTTTACGTCTTTGCGTTCGCACGCGCATCCATCCATTTGACCAACTAACTGCACCGCATCTCACGAAGATTCGCCGGACATCCGCCGACAACTTGCCGCCGTTAGTCCTTTTCAACGGTCTGTCTAGGATCCTAATGGTTTTTATTAGATGGCATCATACCCAGAACCTTCCGAGCCTGCTGAACCAGGTACGGTTCCTCAACCAACCACGCCGTCGCATCACCACCAACAACTTCAAGACTACGATGGCCTTCCGTCACCTATACCTGCCACCACCGTCGCCCATCATGGACTTCAAGTCTTGCAAGCTGCATCTGCAGCCTCTGCCGCTCCTGATCCCGCCGACTTAGCCCAGCAGTATGCGCAGTCCGCTACCTTGCAGATGGATGGTGCATCATTCTCACCCCCTCTCGTGACGTCGACTGCGACGCCCATGTCTGCGACGCCTATGCCTATGACTCCTATGCCCGTGACGCCTACAACCCAGAAGGTAACTCGACTTCGACGAGCTTGTGATATGTGTAGTCAACGGAAAGTGAAAGTATGTAATTCACAACCCCCCCTTTTTCTTACCTGTCTTCCTTGCGTATTTACTTCGACCAACAGTCTAACAACAGTTCGAATTTAGTGCGACGAAAGTGGCCCGCCTTGCAAACCATGCTCCGACCTTCAGGTTGAGTGTACCTTCAATAGAGCGATGAAACGACGTGGTCCGCCTAATAAGCATGCCGAAGCGGCGAGGGCTGCGAAACGATCCCGAAGTGACGATGTCTCACCAGCTCCTCATCATGCCGCCGAGACATTGGTTTCTATCGCAACTCACAATCCCCCCGTCGGCCTAGACGCTGAGATTATTGCGCCGTGGCCCATCTTAGAACTTCTCGTTGACGACTTCTTCACTTATATACATCCTCTAATGCCCTTCCCACATCAGCCGTCCTTTCGTGCCGCCTTTACTAGTCGTATGGATAGATCTAGCGGCGAATTCTTGGCATTGCTAGCCAGCATGGTAGGTGTGTTGGTAGCATCTTTTCCTAGAAGTGCCAGATCGCACCTCAAGGCCCAACACAGTACTGGGCTCTTCCCCTCGGCCATTGCCATGATTGATCACTGCCGAACCATCGCGTTGGAAGCCCGAGGTTCTCGCTTTATGATGAAGGATGAGATGAGCTCGGACGACGCCGCTACTAGCTATTTCTTAGGTATTGCTTGCGCGCATACACTCCAATGGAGAATGTGCAAGCGCTTCCTAACCGAGACCATGACATTCTGCAGAGAGCTTGGTACCCGTCGGCAAAGAGCTATATCCGCTGTTGAAGCACTTATGCCCAGTCTTACCACAACGCTTAACGCTTCGCCTAATAAGCCCATCGACCACATCAAGGATCAAATTGGCAAGCGCATCTTCTGGGTTATGGTCGCTGGCGTCAGGTAGGATATCTTTCTATCACAGTGCTATACCATTGGCCTAACTAATTACAACGCAGATCAATGACCCAATTGGGAGTATCAATCAATGAAATACCATTACCTCCCCCTACTTCTCAGGAGCCTTATCCTGAGCAGCCCGTAGAAGTCGACGATGAATATATATTCTCGGAACAGATACTACCCCAGCCAGAGGATACTATCTCCCTAATCACAGGATTCAATCGTAACATCCGTGTGTACATGACCATGAATGAACTTGTCGGAGTCGACATGTGCTATGGAATCAACTTCTTCGATTGGACTGCGCAGAAGAATATCCTTAGCAATGGGCTCGCCAGCGCGAAGCAGTCTGCCGAGGACCTTCCGCCTGAGCTCCAGGTAAAAGCAGATAACCTTCAGCATCTTCAAAATCACACTTTGGGGTTTGACGACTGGGACTTGGAATATTATCCACCTGCCATCCCCACTACACAGCCGGCAAATGACTTGCGGCGCGTGCTTGCAGAGCAACCCATGCGCCGGCGTCATCTTCAGTTTGAAATTCAGAAGGCAAATATACAGATGTCACAGCTAGCCACTCGCTCGTACTTTGTAGAACGATACCTTAACCTCCGAAATGCGCGCCGGGCGGATCCCAATTTTGCGGAAAGGACAAAAACAGAGGATAAAGACGACCGAGACGACATGATGGAGAACGAGCGGGAACTCATCGTTCAGAATCTCGTCACTGTACTAACGTCCATCAGCCAGCGTAACATGGAGCCGAATGGATGCTCGCTTATCAACAAGATTCGACAGGTAGCCAGCACGCTACTAGATATCAACGCCGAAGGCAAGGGGCTCGCTGTGGCTAAGGCACAGGAATACCTCAACGGTTTCTTAGATATACTTATGAAGTTAGAGAAGATAGGAGCTTCCCCTCGTGCCGAGACAATGACAGCCCAGGATGAGGAAGAGGAATTGCGGAATTGGTCTAGTCTGAAGGAATATCAACATCGCTTCATGTCGAGTGGTGGATTCCTTGGGGACAGTTACTGATGCGTGGATGTGTCTACCCTACCGTAATTCGCTTCTGCTTTTTCTCTTAGACGGCCGTGTATATAGCTATTAATATCGGCCGAACTCACTACTAAGGACTGGTTGCCTAATCTAGTAGTATACCGTAATGATTTACAGGTTAATAAAGGAAGTCAATAAGTCAAATTAAACATTTTATAATCTCTAGTACTTGCGGATATCTTCATTCCCGGTCACATCTTACCCGAGTCTTACCGTTGTCGCGAGTTGCTTAAACTGTGCAAAAATACTGGTTTCGTATTCTCGTCGTCATAGATAGAAAATAGCGGTGAAATATCAAACGAAAATACCGAGGCTAATTCTTCTTATACGTCACTATCTGATGTATTTCGTTCCACGAAGGTAGGTAGGTATTAGTTGTAGTGCCCGTAGTTAGGTACCTACTTATCTATTTCGTCATACTGTCGAGACCGGGCTTTAGCATTCTTAAGCCTACTTCTCACATGTTGGCATGTAGTATAAGTATTAGACAATACGTCTCTTTCTTAGCAGCAACACGGTATAGCTGAGAGTAATTTATTTTCATCCAAGACAAAGCCGCCAATATGCCTTATCCCGATGAGTTTGAAGGTTTTATGATTACAGAGCTGGGTAAATATAAAGACTTTAAAAGACAATCTGTAGGTCGTCTCATATATGGGCAATTTCTCAAGCTGTGACTCTAATTTGATCCCTTAGTTTAAACCCAAGGTCTTCGGCGACAATGATATTGATATCAAGATTGAATGCTGCGGTGTATGCGGCTCAGATGTGCACACAGTCACCGGCGGATGGGGTGATGCCCCGACTCCGCTATGCGTCGGCCACGAGGTCGTAGGCAAGGCGGTTAAAGTCGGGTCTAAGGTCAAAGACGTTAAGGTTGGCGATCGTGTCGGTGTTGGCGCCCAGATCTGGTCGTGCTTGAAATGTATGCAGTGCAAGAACGACAATGAGAACTACTGCCCGAGTCAAGTTGGTGAGTGAAACGTGACCTACATAAGAGAAGTAAACACGATATTTACATGAAGATAGATACGTACGGCGCCCCTTACCCGAAAGAAGCTGATCCAAACGAGACGATCAGCCAGGGAGGTTATTCGTCGCATATCCGCGCGCACGAGTATTTCGTCTTCCCGATTCCGGACGCCATTCCATCGCACTTTGCCGCGCCAATGCTTTGCGCCGGGTTAACAGTATGGTCTCCCCTAGTACGAGCAGGCACGGGCCCTGGCAAAAAGGTTGCGATAGTCGGGCTCGGAGGACTAGGCCACTTTGCGGTGATGTGGGCTAGTGCTCTAGGCGCCGAAGTGACCGTGATATCACACTCGCCGCACAAGAAAGACGACGCGCTGAAGCTCGGCGCGAAGCACTTCGTCTGCAGCGGGGATAAGGACTGGGAGAAGCCGCTGGCGTTCACGTTCGACTTCGTGCTCAACACGGCCGATATGACTAACAAGTTCGACCTCAACGCGTACCAGTCCATCCTCAAGGTCGGCTGTCAGTTCCACCAGGTCGGGCTACCCGACGAGCCGCTGCAGAACGTGACGCCCAAGATCTTCATGGCGAACGGCTCGAGCATGGGGGCTAGCCACATCGGGTCCCGCCCCGAATGCCTTGAGATGCTCAAGCTGGCGGCGGAGAAGAAGCTCTTCCCCATTGTTGAGACGATACCAGTGTCGGAGAAGGGCTGTGCGGAGGCGATCGAGAGGGTTAAGAAGAATGATGTGCGCTACCGGTTTACGCTGGTAGACTACGATAAGGCTTTTGGTAGCTAAGCGCTTCCATTAAGTCATGGGTAGTAGATATGTTGAGTTGAGTTGAGGCATCTAGGTATATGGTCTAATGGGTTGATATAGGTGGTATACAGTATATGTGTATAAGATAGACTTGGCTAGTTAACTGTATATGATAGTGATTAAAATATTCATGTCGCTATTTGAGTACACCTTGTTTATCACGAAACGGAGACTAAAAGCCACCCAGTATTAATGGTGACGATGTTTAGAATTTCTAGAATATTTTTGTGGTAGTTCTCGAGGCATTATCTTATAACTAAAAGTGCCTGGCTCACGACTCCTATTATACTATTATAGCAACCGTGAGATTATGCCTAGTGACCTGGGAAAGCTCTTATTTAAGTAGTTATGTATTTTTGACTACATATCTACATCGACATTGCATTGTTTGATGTTGTGATCTTCATAAGAGGTAACTATTAAAGAGTTCCTTATGTAGGTAATAAAGAAAATTGATAATTTTGTGATACTCATGTCCAGGTTGAACCTATAATGTGGCGGGAATATAAAAGTCGTCTAAGCCGTATTAAAACACGATGGTTAAACACATATTAAATGTGGCTCAGTCCTGATTTTAGGCACCGATTTTAAAGTATCTGTGGCGGTGCGAATGTTTCAAAAGCTGTTGTGGCAAGGATAAGCACTAAAATTGGATTTAGACCTGCAGTGCCGCGTGCGTAACAAAATCGCAACAAAATCTATGCACCAACAATTCAATGCGCTTCTCTCTTTCAATCAATGAACCGATTGAAATGCTTAGACCTTACCAAAAGGTAGATGTGATTTAGGTAGAGAGGCTCACACAATTATTGTGATTTACTTAACTTAACTTTACTAATCTTCGAATTTGTACTTTGTATATTCTTTATCAATTTTATTTTTATTTTTTTACCACGACAAAGTCCCTTAAGTACCGACCACAAGGAAGAAACTTTATATCGGTCAAAGGTGGAAGATCGAACCGAGTTCACCTGGTTGCTTACCCGGACCCTAGTGACCCTAGCAAGTCTAGTTACCGCTCCGTTTAATCGTTTAATCGTTTAATCAATTTGTCGAGGGATAATTTCGGGAAACCATACCCCCCCCCTAGCACCCCGTGGCTTGGGGGCGCTCGCCATTGATTAACGCCAGATCCACCTTTAAGTCAGCCTCCTGCTACTACTGTACACCAGGGATCGTGAGGAAAGGAGACAAGGAAAAAAAAATAATAGGTTTGCGAGAACATCCCGTTCGTAAACATTGGTGCTTACCCATTGCCACGTCAAGCACCAACAACCAACAACAACCCTGTAACGGCCGAGATCAATACTTTCTAGCACGGGACTCGGTATATCTTAAGATCGTTTATCTTACGCGACAATTTCAACTACACCTATAACCACTATAACCACGACGACGACGAAACCTATTTCATAACATCGAAAGAGAGCAAGGTCCTACAATAATATGTCATCGGGATTGACGAGACGTCGCGGAGCTGGCGGTGGTACCGCCACCGATGATAGTAATGGAATCAATCGGTCCAACTCTTCCTCAAATGTGCGCGACAGCGCCCCTGAAACGAGTTACGAGAATAGCGAGAACGGTCACAAAATTGCATTCGACCCGCGTGATATTAGCGAAAGCGCCGAGCGCAGTAAACAACCCAAACTGACATTGATGGAGGAGATTATATTGTTGGGACTTAAGGATAAGCAGGTATGATGAATCCCGGTTAATAAATATCTCTCTCAAGCAAGTCTGGGACGTGGTATGGTGACGTGCCATGGTGCTAACGGCGATTAAATAGGGCTACCTCTCGTTTTGGAATGATAATATCAGCTATGCATTACGTGGTTGTATCGTCCTCGAACTGGCCTTTCGTGGCCGCATCAGCATGCAAAAGGATCCCTCTAGGCGGCGATTCCCCCTCGCGGACCGGGCAATCGAAGTCATCGATGACACGCTAACTGGCGAGGTACTACTAGACGAAGCTCTAAAGATGATGAAGCAGAGCGAGAAGATGAGCGTAAGCTCATGGATCGACTTGATGAGCGGTATGCTATGCCTCCGCGCAACCTGTCCTATATTGTCGGCTTGCTGACCGCGACTATTTACGAACAGGCGAAACCTGGAACCTCATGAAGATTGGTTATCAACTAAAGCAAGTCCGCGAGCGACTATGCAAGGGCCTCGTCGATAAAGGCATCCTACGTACCGAGAAGCGCAATTTCTTGCTCTTCGACATGGCAACTCATCCCGTGGCCGACGGCGGCGCGAAAGACGAGATCCGACGGCGCGTTAGAAACGTTCTGACCCAGCGAACTGTCGTTTTGCCTGCATCCCAATTCCTACCCGAGAACCTCGAGTTCCGTTATATCCGAACCATCTCCATGGTTTGCGCCGCATACGCTGCTAACGTCTTGGAGAATGCCTTAAGCACGCTGGGCCATGAAGCTCGGGAGAGGGCTTTCACGCAGACCGACGAGTTACTTGCTGAGTACTCACAGTGGCCATTTGGAAGGAAGACTAGCTCTACCGGCATTGGAGCCAACCTACCGCAGGTCATATCCGAGGTAAGCTCATTTCCCTCGTTGGGAATACACTCGAGAGAACAGTAGTATATTGACTATGATTTCTAGGAAATCAATAACGCTAAAGACAAGGAGCTCCAGCTTGAGGTTGTTGCCGCCTGTTTGAGCGTCTTTACCCGCCTCGATTCGCTTCTATAGACTTTGGGTTCGCCCACATTAATCCTTCTACTTATACGAAACACGATACGACCAGCATCCAACCTCATCGGCCTCACTCCCTGCCCTCTTGATACAAACCAATCTCCAACCCGGCATTGTTTCGACAGTGTTGACACGGTCGAGGGCGCTCTTCTGGATTAGGAAAGGGGTGAGATTTAGGAACGTTTGCCACAGTGACTATGGAACTGGACTGCGAATGACACGGAGAGAGATGGGGAGCACACTCGGATGTGCTACTCCTCGCTAGGATTCAGATAGGAATCCCATGAGGGAAGAAAACGGGGGGAGGGGGGAGAGGAGAGCCAGACAATTACGGTACAGGCAAGGAATGGGTCATGTCATTTTTTCTCGACGGTGTTATGTTGTAATAGTCTAAAAATCATGGATTTCTTCTTTGCCCTCGGCGTTGGTCCCTTACGCTTGCTTGTAAGTCGTTTTTGCGGGATGTCGTGATTATCCATATATATATATACCGTCTTTTTTTTATCACGTAGCTAGGGCCAGTATATTACGACCTCTGAGTATATATCTGCTTCATTACATCATTGCATATCATATTAACTGACTTTTCACACATACGCTCCCCGCGTACTGATCGGTTTTTTTTGGTTTTATATCTATTTGCCCTTCCGCAATCGCTCCTTCCACCCGCCCTTCTCATATAGCCATATCGCTTCTATAGCAAACACCCTTGCGCTACGGTGCCCTCTACCCTCCTCGGTTCCCGCCTCCTCATATAAACTGCGCATAACGGCGCCATCTTCCACATCCGCCCATATGCCTTGAGCGACGGCGGCGTCTACCCCACCAAACTCGCCGCGCCCGAGCCGGTACAGAATGCGACCGAGAGTCTGGTACGCAACGCACCGCTGGCCGGGAACGGCGCTGCGGCATAGGCGCGCCAGCTCCCGCACCGTGTACCCCGCGGCCTCTGGCGCCTCGCCGTGGTGGTGCAGGCCTTTGGTCACGGGGACGGCGCGCGCGATCCGCGGCGGGAGTAACGAACCCCGGAAGTCGAAGCGCAGCACGGAGACGGGGAGGGAATCCTGCTGTGGATGGTACGGGCTGTCGTAATCGGCGGGCGAGTTGGGTGTTGGCACGGGCGCCATCCAGGCTAACTTCGAGGGGTCCGCGGGTAGACTCGGGAAGTACTTGTCGTGAAGCTTTTGGAGGAAGTCGGGGTCGTGCGGGTCGAGGTCTCCGGGTTGAGGGGGCTGCGGCCAGTGAGGCTTGGTTGGTGTTTGTTCGGGGTCGGTGGTGTTGCGTTGTTCTGTGGGTTCTGTTGAGGGGGGATTCTGTGCGGTGTTGTTGTCGGAAGGGGGTTGTGAGGTGGGTGTCGGAGTCATCTCCGGAATCATTTTTTCTTCTTCTTCCTCCTCATCTGCTACTGAGGCCCATCGGACGCGTTTGGAGCTATTTGTAGTGGCTGATTCTGCCCCGCTCTGTTCTGAAGGTTTCTTGTTGGGCTTATTACTATTTGATTGAGCGGATGTATCTTCTATTACTATCTCGGGAGAATCTTGCGTCGGCTTTGCGTCCGAGGAGGCATCTTGCGAGGTAGACTTGGGAGGATCGAAAGGCGAGGGCCCAGTAGATTCGTCTAAGTTGGCGCGTTTGAGTAGCATTTCAAGTATAGAGGGATCTAGACCGTTGAAAAGCTCCTGCCTGGCCGCCTCTATCTCTTCTGGTGACATCGATGCCAACCTGTCATTATTTTCGCGATCTATGCTTTGTTGCTCGTTCAGCTTGAAATCTTCGCTTGATCGCGTTGTCTGTTGCGCATCTTGACTCGGCGGGCAAAGAGGTTCTTTCGATCCTGTCGTGAAAACTTTTGGTTTCTCCCCTTTTGGTTTATCTCCTTCTGGTTTTGCAGCCTGTCGCTTTTGCTTGAAGGCTGAAATCCGAGTTCGCTTCTTGTGTTCGGGGAACCCGGTCGTAGTTGATTTAACCTGAGGGAAGCTTGGAGCTGTCGGTACAGTCACCTCCTTCTCCTGAATATCCGTAATGAGGAAGTCCATGGCTGCTGGAAGTGCCCCTTGACGGCTTGGTGAGGAAAATAACGGAAATTTAGTCAAAAGGATATTTGTTTGCGACAAGTCTATAACTAGAGGCTTGGAATCATATTTTTAATTGATCTGTTGACGTAACAGCCACTCCGCCCCTCTAAGTTTAGTTCCTGTCCTTGTGGCTGGTACATCTACTAGCTGCATGGATAGTGCAGCGCTAGCGCCGTGATGTCCGACTTGGAAATTCCAGAAGGAGGAAGCGCCTACTACCGCTTAGCGGGCCAATGAGACGTCATCGGCCCGCGTTTCATTGCAACTGGTCCGGAAATTGGGCTGAAACTTAAAAAAGGTGCATACTCATCGGTTATAAATTGAAGGTTTACTTTTAATGGGCATGTATAAGTACCTGAGTTGTCATATGTGAGTTTGGTTATTGTTGAAAACCTTGCTTGTTTGTTTGTTTGTCATATCTTATTAGGAAAGTCATAGTTACATATTTCAACATAGTACGGCTATTAAAATGACCAGCCTATAAGAGTAGTACTTGTACGATTAATGATAGCAGCGTCTAGTTGAACTTAGTAATTATGTGAGTCATGAATAGCGATGCACATTATAAAGATAAGAAGAGCTATATGCCCATTGAAGAAATCAAAACCTACGCGTTTGCTTTATACGTGCATAAATAATACAGCGCAACCCCCATCTAGGTAGGTACATAATAAAGTTGTATGTGATGATTATTGTACAGGGGGTAGAAAAAGAAAAAACTGTATATACTTGCCAAGCTTTGTTCAATTCTTTCTTTAAGTATATTATAGAAACTACTAGCCCCGTTTAATAATTTCATAAGCATAAATGACATTATAAAAAAATCTCATATAACAATATGCAAGTTCTCTACAAAATATGTACAAGTACAGTCTAATAATAGGCGTAATGCACGTTTTTGCTAATCCCTGCTCAGCATGCCTATGTATCTTAGTAATCAGGATTTTGCATGGTCTATGTATGACCTAATAGGACCTAATAGGCCCTTGTCATTGTCGCGGCTATCTTGCGTTAAGCGTTGTAGTGGGTCCTGCAAGACGTTAAGAACTGAAACATAGGTACGTACCCCGCGGTATCTCTTCAATCCGCAGTTCGGCGGAGAGGACTGGAGGCTCAAGCTGCATGAAATTGAGCAGTTCCCCACCCGCCCTGCCTTTTTTAAGTTTGCCGACTGCTCGGCTCATCCAACCCGGGTCCTACCCATTCAAGGAAAGTACACTTCTGCAGCTGTACCTGACCACCTATCCTTTGAGCTACTTGCTTCAGGTGAGACTTCCCATGCTAATGATAACAGGTGATACTTCCTTGACTACCTAACCTATGCCATCTATTGTATAGGAGGTATACATTTAACGACGGAGTATTTGATAATATCGACCGATGAAACCCCACACTTACCTTAACGAACAATTCCCGCCGGGTACAGTATTCAGCCCAGTGCCTATGATTGTACCTCGAACGCCCAGCCCAGCCACGCCTGGAACCTTTAGCTTGTCCATATCTAACGTAAGTATTTCAAATGGCTATGCGATCCGATCCTTCACTACCTCTTTAATCCGGTTGCCCTTTCTAGCTAAGGTTCCAGTGTACCGAAAACCTCCCCCTAGTGGGTTGCTTCTTATTTTATGTGTTTACATACTTACCTATTAAGAAATACATCCTTAATACATCCTTAAAGGGCCGAACCTATGGCCACCTCATCAATGTGAACTGTCATACGCCCCTCCTTAGTTTTCCTTTTTTGCTCTTTTCTCGTTGATTCTCTCTAACACACTATACTACACTACATAACCTAACTTAGGAGGTAATTAGTACATGTTACAATTATCAAGGCCCCATCGTCATCTTTAAGCTTAGGCCAAGTCACCCACCCCCCGTCGGATGACAATTCGCGATCTGATGCCTATGCGCCTAATGTGTTCTTCCCTCCCCCCCCAAATTGTTACGGTTCCCCTTGAATTCCCAGCTGTTCCAATGACACCCCCAGGCTTACCTAGTTCCGATCTTCTAATTCGATTTTTTAATAATAAAATTTCCCACGCAACTTTCATTTCTAGCTAGTTAGCCAGGCCCCGATTTTTCTCGCCTTGTTGGAGAATACATAATTCCCAATTCCAAAAAAAAAAATAGTAGCCATCCCCATCCCTCCCGCAATCTTCCAAAAACTCGCAATTCTCCCCCCTTCTCCCCTACTTTTTTTTCACAACAAAGATGATGTCCAAAAGATAATTTCATCTACATCCATCACTTTATCGCGACTTTTCATTCTCTTATTTACGTCATCTTGTGCATCTAAATTTGGTGCACCCTACCCGATAAGTTTCAGGGTCTACTGTCTACATAATTACGACTTTTTTCAAGGTCAAAGTTCGGTTCACCGAGCTGCTTGCGCAACCTCTGCGCGATCTTCGTGAAGTTATTCAGACCCGGACTCTAGCTCCTACGGCGCACCGACCACACGATTTTGAGGTCACGTTACCTGATAGTATGTACTCTGGTACAACAACACTCCACTAAGACCTTACCACTTACCGTTTTTGAACCAATAGTCAATCTGGTGCAGTTGTTTTCGCGTACCTGCTTTGCAACCTTAGCTATAGCTGGACCCACGTGCGTCTATTCGCCTATTCGTCTATTCAATAGCGGCCATCAACGCTATACCTCACAGCATTATTGCGAACCTGTAAAGACGTTATCATTGGCCAATGCTCATTTAACATCGAAAAGGAAGTTTATACAATTGGGAATTTATTTCACAACTGCAGCTTTAACCATTCACAACTACACCTTATCAGATCAATACGGTTCATTTGTTCTGAAAGCCTTTATTTGGTCGGATTTATTTATTCACTAGAAACAAATCTGTCGGTGCACCATCCTTGGCTCTAATTCATCAAGTAGAGTTTTATCAATATTTGGTGTCTTAGATCGGGAATTTGTCTATAGATCGCCAGGATGGCTGGGGGTTCTGCCAACGCCCCGGCTCGATTTAGTTCTTCGCCGGAACTGTCTGACCCCCCTTCTATGTTATCAGGACCTGGATCAACAAACGGGGAAAACAGAGCAAAAAATGGAGAACTGGATGAAATTGTGGTAGATCCTACTACTATTCGATATGATGGATCTGGCCAGCCCATGTTAACCAAAGATGGATTGCCTAGGAGAAAACCTGGCCCAAAACCCGGGACAAGGATCAACAAGCGCAACAGTGCCAATCCCGAAGAAGGGGAGAAGGTTAAACGAGTGCGAAAGCAAAAGGACCCTAACGCACCGACTGTTTCGAGAAGACGTAAGGGAGTATCTCTCGAGGGCGAGGCGAGCGAACCAAGATCTCGTGCTGCTAGTGTCAGTGGTGGTGCAAATACTGGAAGCACGGTATCACGACAGACCAAGATCACCGAGATGGCTACGACCCAGTCTCGGTTGGAACCTCTTCCTCAAAGGGAAGTGAAACGTGATAGCATGCCCGGATCCATGTCCAGCATTCTGAATAACGACCCCGAACCCCTACAATTCCCTCGTCAATCACATCAATCACAGCAATCACAGCAATCACCACAACAGCAGCATCAACAACTAGCACGGCCCAGCGCTCCGTCACGGACGAGCGGTACTAACTACGATCCAATTCGCTCGTCGAATTATGACCCTATAAGAGAGACTATGGTCACACATACCTATTCCAACCCGATGAGCGGATCGCCTCGTGGACCTACCACCACAAATGCTATCAATCGCGCAAGTGCATCGCCTTCGATCGCCAGTCTTGTCGACCCGCCTGTACCGAATATTATTTCGCCTGTTCCATCTCATACTTCTTTTGTTCAGAGCACACAATCCCAGCCACCTTCTCAGTCTCAACAGCGTATTCATAAGGAATCCAGCTCGATGCCGGAGTCCCCTAGCCCTTTTCGCAAAGATTTCATACCTCCACCTGCACCAAAGCCGCCCACAACTGAAGCCAAGGAGGGTAAAGAGACCAGAGAGGCTAAGAAGCCTCCGTCAACCCTTGCACATGCAATTACCTCCAAAATTGAGATTCGTCCGACGTCTATCACTACGATTGGCGCGGCCGGTACGAAGAAGACATCACCCAAAAACCACAGCACTACATCGTCGTCACCTCGCATCAGTGCCATCAAGGATACGCTCGCTCCCCCTCTTCCAAGCGGGCCTGAGCGTTCCATCCTGGACTTTGGTAAAGCAGAACCCGGATCTGAGTTTAATGCTCCATCAATTATTCTCAATGTCCCTCTCAACGGGGAAACAAATAAATACATCAACTTCATGCGAATGGCCGAGGATCAGTATGGTTGGGAAGCTCTTCATCCGCGCCAGGCCGAACTCAAAGCACGTAAGGCCCGCATTGCTGCCGCATCTGCCGCATTAGCCCAGAATGATTCCAGTCGCGAGGGGGATGAGATGTCAGTTGACGAATCAGAGAACGAGGACTCGAATATCGAAATGGGTGGTACGAGCGGACCCGACAAGGCTGCCGACGACAAGCCCGCAAAGAAGAAGAGGCATTTCAAAGAGGATGAATACGATAAGGATGACGACTTTGTCGATGATTCGGAAATGCTCTGGGAAGAGCAAGCAGCGGCTAGTAGGGATGGCTTCTTCGTCTACTCCGGTCCTTTGATACCGGAGGTTGAGAAGCCTGAATCTGGACGGTACGTACATGTCCTATCTCTAGTGGCTCGAGTATACTGATTTGATGCAGTGGTGAGGGTCAACCCAAGCGAGGACGTGGATCACGAGGTGGTCGTGGCGGGACTCGTGCAGCAACTACAGGCACAGGACGAGGTCGCGGAGGAGGCCCCGGGTCCCGAGGAGGCGCAGTGAGAAAGCCACGAATGACGAAGGCTGACAAAGCTCAGATGGACCGTGAAAAGGCAGAACGTGAGGCAGCCTTTTTGAAATCGACGAGCGGTGGATCATATAATGTTCTGCACCCCGGCAGTCCCCAATTCGCAGGCTTGTAGGCTGGACCTAAGAGGTCTATCCCAGGAGAAATCCGGTATTGAGTAATAGGGGCAATGTAATATGTACACACGCGGCATTGATATGATCGCCAAACAGCGGGCGTGGTCTTTGAAGGATTCACGCGCAGGGGCGATGCTAAAGCTACGGTTTGTTTTGATACCACGATGTTCTTGACGCGTGTCAGGGGTTTGGGATTCCGGCGTACGCTTAGTGACTTCGGGTGACTAGATTTGCTTCGGCTCTAGAAGTGTATACATCGTTTTAATTACATGAATCAACACTATTGTGATCTAAATATTGGATTGTGAGATTTGCTTTTCGTGCTTATCATCTCGAAATGATGGGAGTGTTTTGGTATAAGAGGGCATCCAAATTCTAACTGACCTTGTTCTTTAGGCCCATGTTGATTGGTCCGACCCGAATCGACCCCCCTGCCATCTTATTAGTGGATTAGATCCGCCCAGGATGGAAGCCCGAAGCACGCACAGGGTGGACTCCGGCCTCGAGCGGCGTGCAATATGTCTCCTGGCTTATAGAGAGCTAGGCAGCATAAGAGGTGTTTCGCTTGTAAGCCCTAGTTATACGTTATCGGCAGTATACGGCTTTTGCCAAGGCCTGCTCGTATTTATAAGACGGAGACGCTCGCCCATCTCTTCCCTCTGCCCCTTTTCTCCTTTTCTTTCCTTCTTGCCCTATTTTTCTTCAATACCTACCTAGCCTCCTAGCAAATACTTCTACTCAGCTCCTACTAGGGATTATTACTTATTAAAATGGCTTCCTCTCATCCCCTTTCTGCGACGTCCTTGTTTTCGCTAAAGGGTTGGGTCGCTGTCGGTTGGTTTTCACCCCCTTTTTCTGGCTTCCCCTCTTTTACTGATTTTTCCACGTAGTGACGGGCGGGGGAACAGGTACCGGACTGAGTATGTTCCTAACCTAATTTCAATTTAATATCCCCTATTCCTTCGTTTAGCTTTCTAATCACTGAACGCGTACCTTTCTAGTGATCACTCAGACACTGGCTGCCAATGGAGCCAAAGTCTACATCACCGGGCGCCGCGTAGACGTTCTAGAGACGAGCGCCCGCATCCATGGTTCACCAGAGAGGCTGGGCCCTCTTGGGGGTAGCATCGTTCCTATTGCCATGGACATTACGTCCAAGGATAGCGTTAGGGGCGTCGTCGCCGAGATCACGCAAAAGGAGGGTTTTGTTAACGTGTAATACCATCGCAACTTCACCGGTCATTACCTTCCTAACTATTTTCTCAACAGTCTCGTCAACAATGCAGGAACTTGGGCGGGACGGCCCACCGCGAAAGCGGAAGACGGACCTGAGGCTTTTAGCGAAGCAATGCTGGCCGAAAGTAATGAAGACAACTGGCAGAAATGTACAAGACAGTTTCCTCCTAAGACAGTCCCCTCCCAGTCAGCATCTGGAACGTTAATCTGATTGACCATTTGATAGCATTTGATGTCAATTGTACCTCGCAGTACTTCGTCACGGCCGCGTTCCTCCCGCTCCTTGCTAAAGCTGAATCCGGTCCGACTGGGAGAATTGGGAGCGTAATCAATAATAGCTCAGTGGGCGGAATTCTTCGAATGTCAGTACAAACAACTCGAGGTACATCGTCGGATGTAAAACAGGGGCTTAAGCTTATACTCACAATCATGATACTTCCCACAGGTCGCAGAATTGCCAGTTCTCATACAACGTAAGACGCCTCTCTTATATCTAGATCATTTCTTAACTAATAAGTGGCAGGCCACCAAAGCTGCGTTTTTACACCTAACGCGCCAGATGGCGTTTGAGTTCAGCCACGAGAAGATCAATGTTCGTGTGAATAGTCTTGCGCTCGGTAAGTCTCCATCTTTCCAATCCCTTTTCAATTCACGACTGAGTTAAGTTGTGCTAATATGATAAGGGTACTTCCCATCGGAGATGACGACGGGCGAGTCTAATGACGAGAACGAGAGCACAGCTTCGAATGAGCGTTTTGCGCTCTTCATGAAAAACATGGGCGCTGAGAGGGTCAAGCGCATGGGGACGCCGCAGGAGCTTGCGAGTGTAAGTTGACATATTCTCTTCTGTTATTTGTCTGAACATTCCCTTTTCGCCTTAGGATTGCATACAGAACACGAGTAATGAGTTGAGATCACTAACTGATGATTCGTTGGTTTTCAGGTTATCCTGATGCTCGCTACGAACGATTTTGTTTGGGGCACCGTCTCGATTGTTGATGGTGGCATGGCCCTGACTGTTCCCGGAAATATGTAAATGTAAGACGGCTTAGAGTTACACGTTACTCGTGTTCAGAGCATTCTGCAATTATTGCTTGGGTAGTTTTTAGATAATTGGCTGCTCAAATACATAAGCTTTCATTACGATATTTCTTATTCCTGAATTAGTTCATTAAAATTCGTCTTATTCCGATTATTACGAATCTATCTTATATAAGAAAAGCTGGTGCCTCGTTCGGTAAGGAGAACCAGTTAACGTTCTGATACAGGATTTGCGTAGCAAAACAACCCCGTATAGCTACTATAGCTACTATAGATAATTCTTAGGGGTGAACCCCCTTTTCGGTGATTCATTGCTACCGACTAAGGTACTCTCTCAAAGGCTGTTCACTGCTTTCGCGTGATCGTAGACAAGAGTCTGCGCTTCTTCGTCGTCTAGGTAAATGGTGAACCCGTCGTTATGGTTACGACCGTAGGAATATCCCGAGAAGCCGTATTGCCAGTACATGTCGGCCATGCCCGCCTCCAACATGATCTTCTGCCAACCCCCCTCGACCTCCAATCTTGTTGCGTTTACGGCAGGAATTCCATTCTGCTCGCGTACCTCAGGCGTCATCCAGCCGTACTCTTCGTGGACGACCGGTTTATCAGCCTTCTTACCCGCGGCTGCGTGATCACGGATCCATTGGTCGGCCCAGGCGACGGTCTTAGTCCACCAGTCCGGGTAAGTGTGGAATACGCCGAAGTCTATATTGGGTAGAGCCAAGTTGGCATCGAAGTCACCGCCGTCAGAACCATTATAGGCCCAGTCGTCTGATTCCCGGTTAAAGCCACCCTCTCCACCCCACGTTACTAAGTGGTCCGGGTCTAAACTCTTGACGAATGTGCTCATCTCATCGATCCATGAGGTCAGCGTGTCTGCTGTGCAGTTGCCACTGACGGGCAGGTTGCGCACGGCGTCGGCACCACAGCGCGGTTCGTTAGCCAGCTCCCAAGCTAAGATAGTTGCGGAGTCTTTATAACGCGTAACAAACTCCTTGATGTATCGTTTGTATGCATCTTTAATTTGAGGTAGCCGGTAGAACTAAAGCGCCGTTAGCATTATGTACATGTATGAGTAAAATAGTCACAGCGGTCCGAAGAGTACGTGTTTAACTTACATCATCATGGTACTTCCCGCCAAGGTTTATAGTAAAGACGTCCATACCACCATAGTCGGCCCAATTATTAGTGAAGGTGACGATAAGTTTGATGCCGACCTTGGTGGCGGCATCGACTACCTTGTCAAATTCGGTGATATTAACGGTAGAAGTGCCATTAGCCCACCATTGGAAAACAGCATTGGTCGCACCCGCTCCCTCGCCACCATACTGCGGCAGACCTTGAGGATCATAAGTGACATTCTTGTCATTAAAGCCCCAAGTGCGGAATACTTTCAGGCCGGCATCCTTGGCAGCAGAAAGCCCAAGTTCGACATCAGTCGTGTTCTAACGCTATGATTAGAGAATGTCTCTCTGGAAAAGAAGGTGGGATACGCACGCTATCAAAGGGAAAATAGTACGCGTTGCTCCCAGCAAAGTTGAAGTCTTTCCCGTCAAGTTGGAACTTGTCTCCTTTAACGGTGACGAAACCCTCGAGAACAGCTCCACCCTTGGTTTTGCTTAAGGGGCCTGCGTGGACCCCTCCGCTTGCGAGCAGACCGAGCGACAGAAGACTTGACAAAGTGAAGACCATATTGACGATCGAACCGCTCAGTGTAGAAACCACACGTAACCATTGTGAGCGACCCGATGTTGTCCAGCATAAGGTACCTACTTATGTATTTCGTCAAGGGCCCCTTTCCCCAATTCGGGCATTTCCGTTTGGGGGAAACGGAGGCATTTAAACCGCGTTACTAGGATCCCGCTGATTGAGCCTCTTGGTAACATTGATAACTTGCGCCGAACCACTCAGAGACCGTTGCTCTGTGTTTTTTTACGGGGACTACGGCATTTAGAGGTTGACATGGCGGTTTAAACAGCGGTTCGAATATTTGTTTAGAGATCTGGTCTTGGTGTTGGAGACTCGGAAATCAGGCCCATTTGTGGAGAAGTGAGAACATCACGGGATTATATACCCCGAAGCTTTGAACTTACGATTTCATTATATCGTGACCTTAACATTAATTCATTAGAGGTAGGAACATAATTACTGACACGTGCTCTTCCACTGGTCTAAAAGGTAGCCATGCAAATATATATCATGTTAAAGAAAAGGTGCTAAGGTTTCTTTACCAAATACTTGAAATGTCTTGATATATCATGTGCCTAATACATTGCTATTTTTTATACTTATCAAAGCGAGGAACTATTATATATAAAACTGCATAATACACCAGACAGACATTGGTTAAGTACCTAACCTGGGTACCTTGTATAGATGTTATATGCACTCTGTGTTTGTCTGTCCCTTTATCGATAAAGGGGGTAGACCAAGCGGGGCCGATCTTTCATCTCCACCAACCTCCGGGCTGTCCGGGCTTCTATCTTCTATCTTTGCCGTGTTAGTAGGGGCGTGTGTCTCCTTGAAATAAAAAAGAACGGAATCTTTCTTGGTAGAGATATCCTTAATGAAGATTCCATGCTAGGAGATTGCTCTAAGTATCACTTAAAAGCTATCAAATAACTATGATATAAATAGGACTTAGCTGTAGTACCTAGGTAGGTACGTATACAGATATTATGTAGGTACATAGGTACAAGTACATCCATGTATTCCGTAGTGCAGTGCAAATTCCTTATCGATAATGATGCCACCCCCACTAGGTTACCTAAGGTAAGTCTCTTACCTAGAAGTGCCAAGATTTCGTAGTTGATAAAGTAAGCGATAAACTCCGCACTAAGAAAAAATTCCCACCAGCAAAAACCAATTCTTGTTCCATCCAATCAAGGCTTGGCCTCACCTGCTTTTTTGCTGTAGCCCAAGGCGCCAGGCGTTTCTAATACTGGTACGACTGCTGCGGGTAACCAACTTTTTTTTTTTTTTTTTTTTAACCTTAAACCTTTTCTTCCATCTACTAATCTCCATCATCCAATTTTAACGAAGTCAATCACTTCAACCTACGTTCGTTTTTCGATTCGATAAATACCACCGGTAGTAGGAAGCACCAAGGATCATTCTACTTGATATCCTAGTTTAATAGGCATTATGGAGGACTCTTCGTTGAAGGTTGGTTAATCCAACAACCTGATCTGTATCGCCGACAGGATATCGCGTGCTCTTGAAGAATGATAACCGACACCTCAATACATAGGAGCGTCTCCTCAATTCACAAAAGTCCTTCGATGGACTCTTGTCCTTAATACCTGCCAGGATGTATTATGGAGAAGACACGACCGTAAGTCGCACCCCCTAACGACGCACTTAACTCATTCTCATTACTGATGATTGCGCAGGACCAATGGAAACGGAAGAAGCAGACCAAAGCTGAGGCGGCCGCTGCCCGACGTAATAAGCTCGACCCCGACAGTGCGCTAAACCGAAGTGTCAAAGAAGTTATGGACGAGCAGGCATTGAAAAAGCGGAAGCGCAATCAGATGCAAGATGGGGATGATGAAGACTGGTCTGATGTTGAAGGAGTTGAGACTGAGAAGCCTGGTGAAGGCTTAAAGAGGAAGGCGGCACAAGATGCCAAGAAACAGAAGAAGTTGAACAAGGAGCAACAACCCGAGCTAAGCGAAAAAGAACGGCGACTGCAAGAGAAGAGAGCTGCGCGAAAGGAACGGAAGGCAGAACGACAACAGCTACGGGAAGAGGAGGCGGCCTTCCAGAAACAAACTATCAAGGGTGTCAACAAGATCAAGTTAGGGTCTAGAGAAACGAAGACCAGCTCAGCGCCAAATGGTGATATCAAATCCGCCGACGCTAGCACCGAGACTGACGATGAGCAGCAAGAGGCGGAAGAAGAAGCTGATGCTTCAGACGTCAAGCCCATTGATGTTTCTGGTCTCGCTGACGCTACCCAAGAACAAAACTCGGTCTCTGCCCCCTCGCCCCCTCTATCGGAACCTCAATCCCCCGTCTTCGACACCAACGGTACGCCCGCCGACTCAACCGGCCAAGCTCCAAGTACAACAACGTCTGTATCATCCTCCGCCCCTGCTGAAAAGCCAAAGCATATCAAGATTCCCCCTGATACCACCGCTCTTCGTGCTCGTCTTGCGGCAAGGATACAAGCACTCCGCGATGCGCGAAAAGCCGATGTTGATGGAAAGCCCATACGTACGCGTCAGGAGCTGATCGAAGCGCGACGCCAAAAACAAGCAGAACGAAAAGCACACAAGAAAGAGTTACGGCAAAAGGCTAAAGTAGAAGAAGACCTTAAGCGTGAAGAGGCTTTAGCATCTGCCCGTAACTCTCCGGGCAGCATTCTCAGCCCGGCCATCGATCTCGAGAACAATAACTTCTCCTTTGGCCGAATTGGATTTGGTGATGGCTCTCAATTATCTCATGACCTCTCACATGTTCTCAGTAGCGGCAAGAAGAAGGGCCCATCGGATCCCAAGACAGCCCTTGAAAAGCTAGAGAACCAAAAGAAGCGGCTGCAAGAGATGAACGAGGATAAGCGAAAGGACGTTGAAGACAAGGAGCTTTGGCTTACTGCGAGGAGACGTGCAGAAGGCGAGAAGATCAAGGACGACGAAAAGCTGCTCAAGAAAGCTGTCAAACGTAAGGAGACGACAAAAAAGAAGAGCGAAAAGGAATGGTCAGCCAGGAAAGATGGTGTCGCCAAGGCAATGAAGGATCGACAAAAGAAGCGAGAGGAAAACATCAGGAAACGACGTGAGGAGAAGCTCGCGGGCAAGAGTGGCAAGAAGAAGGGAGCTAAAAAGGCCAAGAGCAGAGCAGGGTTTGAGGGTTCGTTTATAGGTGGAGGGAAGAAGAAATAAGTTACTACGTGATCGGTCTATGCCTAAATGGGGCTTACCGTCCCATCCCTTTACTTAAGGTCTTTGGCATCATGTATATAGTGACCAGCAGTTGGCGTGTCTGGGTTATCTAAACATTTTAACACCCTGTAGCCTCGATGTCTCTCTTGTAAAAACTACCGAGGACTGCAACCTTGTCTCACTTAACTTGAGGATGTAAGTGAGAATTTAGATTTGTTGATATGAAGAAGCATGAACTTAGTTAGGATTGGACAGTTGATTTAACTAGGACCCCTTTGTTCTGGGTGTCTTAGTGGTGGTCATTGACAAATCCGGACGTTGACCTTAAGTTCTAATACTTTCTAATATTGTATTTTTAACTAGCCTTGCAGAGACACCTACTAACAACTTCTTCAAATTCAAAAGTCAAGCGCGTTTTCCTAAGTAACAAACTGTAGTTATTTAGAGAAGCAACCACCGGGATGTTCAGAGAAATGTATATAAAGCGGTTTACCCACGGGGGTTCGGCGTAAGTGGTGTCTAATTGAATTTTCTTGATTATTTCATGTAGACATTCAAGATGGGGGTAAATATACACCAACTTCCAAAACGGTATCAAGTCGTAGGAAATAGTTATGACGCCATATTATTGTTGCTTTGAATAAGCTGTTTCTCTTTAATATTGCTGAAGACAGTATATGCTTTCTCAAGGATGGTTGTTTTATACTTAGGTAGCTTAGGTACCTAAGCCAGTTCTTTATCTAGGAACATAATAGGAGCATGAGTCAGGTACGTAGTGCTTCCGGAGACATCAACTTAAACTGATAGCTTGAAATACCCACCACCATTGACAAATTTGCGGTCTTGATCGTAATACTACTAGTCACATCCGTGAAACTCACTCTTCAGGCAATACTGGTATTGCTATACTTCCAACACGTTAAATCTCTTATATCATTGGTATACTGCTGAGATCATCAGGATGGAATATCAAAATTGATAACAGTGATAACTGTTGGAAAATGGTCCAATCATTATTCTTTTTATATATAGAAGCGGATAATGAGAGAACTTTGAATGTTTATTGTATTGAGAATGTTTGAGTACATATTCTGTCGGACCCTCGCATTCAAGGTTCGGTGCGTTTAAGTACCTGTCGGCATCTTGGTGGTGCGCAAATTGCATGTATTCTAGCTATTTTGACATGTGCGGAATTGATGGCAGGTTCGAGTCATGCATAGTCTTTGTTGAACTCGGTCAACCGCCGAGTTGATCCTGATATGCGTGACCATTGGCTAGTAACAGTGGATATACCTTTCATTGTCCTTTATTCTGCCTCACCGGGAGGCTTCCGCTAAGTTCTAATGATCTTTACTAGGCTCGCAATTTAACACCTATTAAGTATTTACCGGTCTCAAATCCGTGGGGAATTCTATAAGGTCTTTGTTGAATCGATCTAAAGAGCACCACAGTGATAATATAGCGCTATTGTTGGATCACCGGGGGCAAGTCTGGAGCTTCATAGCCATGAAGTTGAATTTGGTTACCTTATGTTTACCTCTACCCTCTTAATTTGAAGCATACCTTCTGATTTTAGCTTACATCGTTCAAGTTCCAAATACACGATCTCCAAGTTGAACGTTATGGAAAGTAAAAGTTTACCTCCTATACGTGGGATGGGACTAGCTATATACATTGTAACGATTGCAATGGCCCTGATCTCAACTATCGTTGTGTTTTTTAGAATATACGTCCAATGCTCTGAAATATCGTTCGGGTGGGATGATGGCCTGATGTTGGCCGCACTGGTTAGTATTTTTATATTTCAAAGATCTGGCATATTACTTGATCTTATTAACAAGCTAGTTATAGGTGGTATATATTGCTAATATTGGACTTGCTTGTAGAAGCGCGCAGTACAACGTCAGCACCCCCGATGTGAATCTTCCCATATCCATGCACGTCGAGGGTAGCAAATACATGACCCTTTGGTCACTGTTATACAGCTTATGCCTTTTCATCATCAAGGCTTCTATCTGCTTGACTATATTTCGGCTGAGAAAGCCCACGAGATACATCCGCTTCGCGATCTATATTCTCCTCCTGGCGAGCTTTGGATCATTTCTCGATGGAGTCATAGGTCTCTTAACTCAATGTAACCCCGTTGAAGCTATTTGGGACAAGAGACTCCTGGTAGATGGCAGGGCAACATGCAAAGATAAAGATAACATGTTGGTCATCATATATACTACTGCGATTATAACGGTCGCGACTGATGTGGCATGCACTGTTTTGCCGGCAGTCATGATGTGGAACACGCAACTCAAGTTGAAAAAGCTACTAATTAGCTTGCTTCTATTGTTCGGATTGCTTGCTTCCGTCTGCACTGTAATCCGCGTGTCTGATATTAAACAGTTTACGGGCGACGGTATCCATTGTGAGTTGCCTGACAACCCCTACTCACACCTTGCTTGCTGTGCGGTTCTAATGTATCGTAATGTATAGTCTGGACCTTGAGAACTGTGCTGTGGTCGAACATTGAAACCGCCATTGGTATCATCGCAGGGTCAATGCCAGTGTTGCAGAAGATTTTTCTGAGCCAGCCTAAGACACGAGAGCCTATCACATCATCCAAAGCTCCCGGCTCAGCGCCCTCCCATAGCGCACCTATAAAGTCGCAAAGTAACCGAGAAGACTTCAGTAATCCGTTCGATACCGGCTGCAACATCACAACGGTGAGCGCGAGTCGTCGTTCTCGTGATTGGGACCGCATGAAGGGGAGGTTTAACTTGCCCTTTATTCGTGCCGAGTATACTTATGAAGTTACGCGATCAGGTTTCTCTGCTGAGACGGCGGAAATGAAAGTGTAACACACCATAGTAAAGAGTCGGACAGGGTCGGGATAGTTTATATTGACGAGTAATGAACAAATATATATGAGAAGTTGCCTTTCCAGATTATCTTAACAGGAGAGCCGCAAACTAAGATTCAGTCCCAGAGGACATAGAATCGTGCTGAAATGACTGGCCATGTGGGCTGCCTGTGCTCTGAAGTTCAACTCATTATGTTTGATGTGATTAAACAACGTTACGAATTTTTATTTTCCCTTATTTTGTACTAACATCCACGTTTCCTATCTTATGGTAATTCGAATACGTCGATGTATCGCTAGGATCGCCGAGCCATTCGTATTCGACAATCTTTACCTCGCTATCCTTCTGGCCTACTAGGCAATATATCCTTCGAGCGTGACTGGCAACAATTGTCCCGCGGTCTTTGCAATCTGATAAATCGCCAACTTCTTGATCCACCGTAGTCCAATTATCTCCTTTATAATATGTCAATTGAACTCCATCGTCGGTAGTGGGGTCCATGGTTAAAACCTGGAAGCCCAAAGGTTCGGGCCAGTTGGTACTCGTCTCGTTGAAGCCTGTTGAGAAGGCAGCAATCGCGGTTTTGGGTCCTATATCTCGTCCTAGATAGTGCCCTACGTACCGACCATCGCCATTTACGATCTGAGATAGTGCGCTGGTAATAGAGCGGTAGAAAATATTCATGCTCCTGTGGCCGTCCGTTGTCGCAGCGGCTGCGTGTGCCTGGACAAGGGACGCGTTCTCGGCGGGCGCCGAGATGTCAACCTGAATGGCATTCGTGTTACTAGCCCACCCGCTGGTGTCATTCTGGTAGCTAGCTTCTCTTATTCCATCAGACGTCTGCCAGTAGAGGTATGTGTATTGGTTGCACAAGTCGCACTGCTTCCCGTACGAGACGAGGGATGATCCGGAGGTAGAAATATAACTGTTTCCGGCTTTCGAATCTACCCAATTTGCAGTTGGGATGGTAGACTGTGTCGAGATACCCTTGTCGTTATTGTACGTTAGAGCCTTAATTGTAGCTAGACCACCGCTGTCAGGGAGTTGCCAGTATATGTGTATATCGCGTCTCTAGAGTAAGTATCAGCAATTTAGTTGGTTCAATAATTCCGGTATATTTGATTCCCCACCGTATTGTCGTATGCGAACACGTCAAGTGACAATGAGGTTCCATTCCTAACGCTATCCAAACCCAGATTATTCGTCTTGCCATCGACTACCGGTGATACCACCCAGCTTTTATGCGACGAGTTCCATGCCGACAAGTAAATGGCCTTATTGTTTAATTGGTAAGCTACAAGATAGTTGTCATTTCCGAACTCGTCCGTGAAATTGGTGGTCGCGAGGTTAGTGTTAGCGAATAGAGCGGTCTCGTCGTTCTGCGAAGTCGCCGGATCCTGACTACTGCTTGTGTCCGAACTGGAACTGGAACTGGAATTACTATCCCTTCTTGTTACAACACCAGCAACAACTCCTGCCACAATTGCTACAATAGCAATCACAACTCCGATAACAACGGCCCAGAAAATCTTTCGTCTCATTCCACATATCTTAGGTTCTGGCGCATCTAGCGCTTTCTCCGTCCCAGGTACGAAAACCGGTTCCGGAAGGGTACGATCTATATCTCCTTTAGGGGCATCGCCAGCAACACCAACGACTTCGGGATAATTTAAATGTTCGGTCGCATTCTGATTGACCTCGGGAAACTGTGCGGCGTAGGTCGTCTCGGCATATTGATTTCGAGTATGCGCTTCAGTGTCTACCTCTAACGTGCTATGCTCGTAGTTATCCCTCGGAGAACTCATGTTTTTTTTTGGATAGGCGGACAGACTGGTCTGTCGGTGCCGTACAAAATACATTGACCATGTGACGTTGAATCGCGACTGATCAACAGGAAAAGGAGAAGAGGAGGCAGGATCCATGATGAAACTAATGAATAGTATAAGTAAGTGGCTTGTCAGCCCTGCCGAGCACGGTCTCAACTTGACGCCTCTTCCGCGAATAGAAGGTTGCGGAGATGATGATCTGACTTCCAAATAAGGCAAAAATCCTCGCGTGGACAGGAATTCCGCATTAGTGACATATCAGCTTCTGGGCAGTGCTGAGACTAACTGGGGTGCTGGACACGCCAAGGGTGGTTCACTAGACCATAGTCGAACTAGCCAAACATTTTAATAGGCCGATACTAAGGAAGGATTTTCGGGCAAGGAGCATTAATAATGTGTAGGGAAGAAAAAAAAATAGGCACAATACACGTAATACATAATATAGTATGATATTATTTACTTTAAGAGAACCAAGCCCCCAAGAGCGCTTATTAGAGATCGACAGTACCGTATTAATGACTGGGTATGAAACCGTTTTGTGGCTGGAGTGCTATGGACCTAGCCAGCTATCTGAGCTGAACTTGAGAGCGGCAAATGCCATAGTGATATTATGGTGTCTGGGAAATTGTATAACATTATACGGCTTACTTTCTCATGTAGGACTAGATGGTCTCGGCACTAAATCAAAGACTCAACCTTTTGACTGTATTCTAGATTAATAAATATGCAGCTTATTAAACATGACTTATCTCCTAGTTAACTAATAATATTAGAAATTTAATACATAGGTAACTAACCTAGTAGTTACACAACACTCAGGCTAGGTTGAAATAATTATAGTACTTAAACTTTCGCCTAGAAAAACCAGCGCGGCGGTACTGGTAATTGCGCCGCGAAGATACAACCAATTACGATTCAGTCGCATTCCTTATTAGGGAAGCTTAAATAACCTTAATTAGTGGTTCGGATCGATTTTATACCTAGGTAGGTACCTACGTAAGGTATACAAGAGGTATGCTGATAGTTGTGTATTGATTAACTTTTACGAGTTACCATCCGCATAGTTATTGTTTAAGCAACAATTTCTTTACAGTATAACGATAGACTACGAGAGACTCGCATCACGAAACTTCCACCTTAATGTCAACCCCGTTATTAGACTCGCTCACAACCGTGACTTTGATACCCCAATCTGGAAGAGTATATGAACTTGTCCCTCTCAGCGATAGTGGTGCATCGTTCAAATCATAGCCTTCGCAACCATTCGACCCAGGAGTTGCATCTAATACCCGAACAGGACCTTGTCCTGTTGCTGTTATTGTCGAGACCGTGTAAAGTAGTACGCCGGTTGAACAAGATGCCGAGTCGAGGCCGCTAGCCGAGCGTAATTCTGCAACCAACACGTCTGTGTTACTGTGCTTGATGACTACGGCCTTAGAGCCTCCCGGTTTCTCTAATGGAGTTAATGTGTGCGTCGTTGACCCCGTTTCCGCGACGCAGTCAACTTGTTCATCAGATAGCCATCCCAACCGCCACTTATCCCACGCGAAATAATCAGGACTCGGCCCACTATACGGATTTAATATTAGTTATAGGCACTGCTTTAATTATCTTTTCTCACATTTGACTCTTACCTAATAAGTCCCATCAAATCCCATCCTCCTATAAACAAACCAGTTGCGCTTCCGTTGAAGGGGTAGTAATCGGGCAAACACATTGCGTGGCCCGTCTCGTGGTTCAAGGTAAGATACTTCCAGGTGTTATATGCGTCTAAGCCGAATGTCACCGACTTCTTAGCAACATATGCCCCGGCACGTGTCTTGACGTCGCCCATAAATGTAGGCGAGAAAGAGATGGCGACAGCGTTGGATGTCGGGACGATGTACAACACATCAGTGGGTGGGATGGTCTTTCCATAAGCATCTAACGCATCCTGTATGTACTTTTCATGCATTTGATAAGTGAGGCCGCGTTGGAATCCGTAAGAATCTGCCTGAGCGGGCATTCGATAGAAACGTGACGTATCGGCAGTGACATTTAGTGTGAGCGCTCCGTATGACGACGTGGCATACCATTCCGCCGCTGCCGGTAAGAAGAAGTCGTGCAGGCTCTGAGGGGTTTCGGTAGCGGCTTGATCAGTAAAATCGACGAATATCATGAATGCGCTCAAGGTGCCAGTGCTAGGAGCGCAGTTCCCCTCGTACCCGAATCCCGTACTAAGGTAAACGCTGCTATTGGCTGCCAATTTGCACGTCGATATATCTGCTCTAGGGCGAGGGCGAATATCCTTTGCCGAAGCGAACGGTAAGATAAATGCTATTATCGTATGCCATACTGCCATCCTTAGCGTAGTTTCGAACAGCTCGATGGCATTAACCATCGTGCCTTAGATGAGAAATAGTATCACCGGTTGTTGCGATTGTGAAAATTAAGAGGCGCATAGTTTGAATGAGCTGAGCGTGGTTTTATATAAAGAAATTTGTTATCTAGAGTCGACGATACAACTGCCACCCCCTTAGAATGCCTAGAATGGAATATGCAGGGGACACTGGTCTAAGTATAGCTCTTTGATTTCATGCCTGCAAGTCTTAGCTATGGGAGCGGTTGATAGCTACCCTGTTCCCTCGGTCGACATTTAGCCGAGCCATATGTGCATTCACGTATTTCGTATAGGATACCGCTTTTTTCATTACAATTGACACACGGGCCACCTGCAAGCCAAGTGTCTTAGCATATTTTATATTTGTTACATAGGCGAACGAGGGAAAATATCTTCCAAAGTGGAGTTATTGATATTCGTATAAGTTGAGCTACACCATTAATAGTTTAGCTAATCTACGGTGGCTCGTATGCCAATTGTAAGACTCTTTAAGAATATAGATATAGATAGGGGTTTCTTATGGCCTTAGCCTATTACATATAGTGTACGAAGGTCCAGACCTTCGTATACCTACCCTACTAAGATCGGTCGGTAATATCTATTTCGCCCTGTACCAAGGATCCAAGGGTAACTCTATGTAGCGTATGCCTCGTGTCTCAAAGACCAGACTTGACCATATCCGCAGCCATTCCCGCAACACCATACACCGCTGCCTGCGTGCCTGCGTGCCTGCGTGAGGAACTATAGGGATACCGCTAGCGTCACAGATACGCAGGTTCGAACAGCCGTAAACACGTAACTCGGGACTAACAACACCACCCATATCCCGTGGCATCATTGCGAAAGTGCCAGTAAAGTGGATAGCTCCCACAGCGGTATCACGAGCGTGTCTACGCGCATTATCTAGATCCTCAATATCTGCTTTGGACATCTCGATGAGCACAAGGCCATTTAGGAAACTTGATCCGCCAACAAGGCGCCCCTTGAGGGAAGTTGATTTCACGGCCGCCAAGTCTCTCCTTATTTAAAATGTGAGATAGTATACTGAAAATTGTATGGGGTTAGCCACACATCTGAGGGGCTGTCTTGAAGTTCCACCATGTTCCGGAGCCAAGCAATTTCGACCACATAGAAGGACTCTTTACCATGGGGTCGTCCCTCATGTCTTCACCAGCCTCAATCACAAGTACACTGGTGTTCAGATCTTCAGAAAGACGTGTAGCAAGGACCAGACCCGCTAGGCCTCCTCCAACAATAATGTAGTCGTAACTGTTGGAAGCCATTGGATGTATAATACTAGTACGATTGTGTTTTCTCTGGACCAAAGGGGTAATGTAGCGCTAAAGGTGGAAGCGTTGAATTAGGTACTTATGTTGTATTTGAAATGACAACGGCTCGACAGGGATCAGAGAATAGGCATAATGCTGGATCGGAGGTTCCAGAGCCAAAGTAAAGAACCTCGGGTATGTAGTAGAAGCCGTGTAACCAACCACTATTGAAGAAGAAGATTACTTTATCACGAAGTGGAGCAAGAAGCATGGAGACAACTTCGTTGTTTTATGAGGAACTCTAACCACAACTATAGAAGCTTTAGCTATACATACTGAAGGTATCCCTTATTCTCGACGTCTCATAGAATCCCAACATAAATTCCAGATAGTGCGTATTTGGCGATTCTATGAGTTTTCGTCCAGTGCAATGACCCACAATTGATTCGTATGCATTCTATTTACTCGTTACTAAGACTTTGGCCTAAGTTAATTAGACTTTGTAGAAGAAGGCCGTTCAGTTTACACTAACATATCCGTTAACATAGTTACCTATAAACCAAGCCTATTGGTAAAATTGGACTACTTGGAATAAGAATAGTGAAACTTATAATAAGATACATATTAAATATTAATAACTTTATCGAGGGATATACGTCCCTATGAAGTAAACTGTCCATCAAGACACTCATAACTTTATTGAGTATTCTGCTCTCCTTGTCAATTTGAAACCTGTATGAGCACGTCATAGTATAAAAGTATAGAGAGGTGCCAAACGTTTAGACTATGTATATATCTGCGTGATTCGAAATATGCATACAAATACTCATGAGTAAAAAACCTCGTATGAGTTTTATGCGTACCTACCGCATAAACACAAGTCAGGCCATACGGGAAGGAAATTAATGGATTGCTTCAAATCGACGAGGGACTAATATATTTAGTTTTACTCAATCCCGAGCATTAGTTTATCAAGGCTATACGGCTACATTCTTCCAGCAGAAGCCTTTCTATGATTGCTAATTCTAAAGCAAATTATTTACGGTGATTTCTGCCCCCTCAATAGCCATCTCAAACCAACCAACCCATCTATTGACATGGATATCTAAGAATCCGTCTTTGCTAATTACCTTAGTATGTTAAATGCTGAGTAACTATGCGATAAAACTAAAAATGTTAAACATTAGGCAAAAAGAATAAAAAATAGGTACCTATGTATGTAATGCTGCAAATATGTAATTATTTCGAAACCCATCACTCTATTTAATGCATACTTGCTCAGGGTGTTATGGGTTGTTGGGCTCATTTTAGGCAGGCTGATCATTCACGGAAGCCTCCGTTATGTCTTCTGTAGGTTTTGTCCCCGGCTGCTTTAAGGAAAGCCAGTCCATAAAGATGGGCCCAATGATGGACAGGGCGCTGACGGCAACAGCGACGTAAAATGTTTGCGTGAGGGCATCGTTGTACGCTTGTAAAACAGCAGGCAACTGCTCAGGCGAAACAGTAACCCTCAGTGCAGTGGCACCGCCCTTAATAACAGAAGCAGAATCGACTTCGGGGGCTCGGACAACCAGATTCTTGATTAGCTGGTTTTGGAAGACGTTCTGGGCCACAGCCAAGAAGATCGAGGAAGACAGCGACTGGGTGAAGGTTAAAATCGAGATAGCCATAGGCATATCAGCCATAGGGACGGCAACCTGAGCAACGAGCATGACGTTCTGAGCACCCAGACCCGCACCAGCCGCAACTATTATCTGGTACCCAAACCAATATCCGATGGTAGAATCAACCTTGAGAGTGCTGAGAAGGCCGGCTCCAACTGCAGTGATGGCCGAAGAAGCAATGAGCAACGGTGTATACAAGCCCAACACTGTGGCAAGACCTCCACCAATGATGGAAAATACAACGAGACCAAGGATGCTGGGTAAGTTATCAATGCCGGATTGAGTAGCAGAGACCCCCTTAACCGCCTGAAACCAGATCGGGAGGTAATAGGAAAAGACGAAGAGAGCGGCGCCCATGCACACACCATACCACACAGCGCCGATGATATTATTGTTCTTTAGGACTCGCAAGGGAACGGTGGCTCGATCCTTCTGCCAGAGTTCGACGATCCAGAAGATGATAGCAAGGACACCAAATATAACAAATAACGCGATAATTCGGCCGTCGCTCCAAGAATATGTCGCACCGCCCCATTGTAAGGCGAGGAGAAGGCAGATGACAGAAGGGATCAGGAAGAAGCTGCCGGGAAGATCGAACTGCTTAACCTGTTCCTTGAAGGGCAACCCGGGCTGTGCCGGTGGCTTGTCTGGCAAAAAGAGAATGAGGAACAGAATGGTAAGACCACCAAGAGGAAGGTTAATGTAGAAACACCACCGCCATGTTACATGGTCAGTAAAAGCACCTCCCAAACTACCGCCAAAGTCAGAATGCGCGAACGAAACTTTTGTAAAAGAGTATAGTTGCTCACATAGGACCAGCCACGCTGGCGATACCGTGCATGCTCGACAAGAGACCTGTATAAATAGGTCGCAATCTCAGGGGTATATTAGTTGCCAAAATAATGATAGCCCCCGCGAAGATACCGGCGGCGCCCAAACCCGAGACAGCTCGCCCAACGATCAGGACAGCTGAAGACGGAGAAACGGCGGCGATGAGGGAACCAATCTCGAAAACGAAAACGCCTACTAAAAACACCCATTTTACGGAGTACATGACGTAAAATTTGCCGAACATCAACTGCAGTGCGCAGACAGCGAAGAGATACGAACTTCCATACCAAGCAACATCATCTAAGGAGTTGAAATCGTTGGTGATTCTGGGGATGGCGGTGGCGAGAATAGTACCGTCCTAAGAAGAAAGTCAGGAGACTACGACATAAACACATACGCTTTCCAGCGATGAAGACTTACCAAGGACACGACAAGCATGGCCATGCAAAGGGCTATTAACAGGAGGACTAATTTCCAGAAGGCAGGATACTGCTGGTCGGCGTCGGCGGCAGCAGCATCGACGGTGGGCTCGCTATTTTCCACTTCTTGCTTTTCAACATCCTGCACTTCTTGAGGGCGCGATTGCACGGGGGCTTCTTGGCTGTTCACTTTTTGTAGAATTGTAGAATCGTTGGCGGTGGAATGTACCGACACTGCGGTAGCGGCAGAAGAAGCGAGCGTATCGTCTGGAGGTCGCATCGCGGGCAGTAATGTAGTAAAGCAAGAGAGTGTAATTAGTCGAATTTCTACATGTCAACTTGATGCAATATATTCAAAAAAAAAAAAAAAAAAGTCAGAATCATAACTTTGGGCCGGTTCGACTTTTAAGAATATATCATACGGGGATCCACTACGGGACCCCTTACGGGACCCCCTACGGCATTCCTTACGGCGTACTGAGTCATGCTGGGGATTCGAGAAGATCATCCAAACACGGGGCTGTGTGCCGTTCTCTTGTTGGAGGTCGATACGGCATAAAATGAAAGATTTTGGAATTCAGATGGCACATCTTGTCGCAAAAACCTGATTGGCCAATTGAAATCTCCCCTACTAAAATTACCCAAACTTACCTTGAAAAAGTTACGGCCCGTGCCGCTAACCTGCAGCTAGTGCTCTCCTAATTTAAGCATAATTAGAACGTTTCTAGGTACTTTGGGTACCTAAGTACCTAAGGTATTGAACTAAAGACCCTGTCGACATATGCATAGATAGGTACACGATATACCTCATAGATAAAATTATTTGAGACTATTTTATTGTATATATTGACTCTATTGCTTAATGCCAGCCGTTCTTGGCGAACCATTAGTCTGAGGGCACCGGGCAATGACGTTTGCGTAGTAACGTAACATAATAAAGACCTATAGACATATTAGAAATAGTACTAGTCGGAACAATCTTATCATTAATAGGTAGTTAATGGTAGGTTGAAGAATATAGCTTTACTAACGCCACACTGCATGTTTCTCGAATGATATGTGGCACCGCACCTATAACCAATGATATGAGGAATATGATGCTGCGAGTCCTAAACCCCGAGTGTCCGATAACAACTACGAGAGGGAATGGCTACGAAATGTCCATCTCATTGTGATATTAATACTAAGCACTGGCGAACAAACTTTGACTATCAATATCGCAAGATGGCTATTAATCAATCTTCAAACACTATAATTCCAGTCATCGACATTTCTGGTTATCTGGCTGGTGATTTGCCTCGAACGGCCGAAATTGCAAACGAATTGAACGCCGCGTGTTGCGCCCCTGGTTTTTTTCAGATCGTTGGCCATGGTATCCCTGCCGAGTTGCGAACTCGTCTCTTCGACAAGGTTACCCAGTTTTACGATCTTCCCATAACCAAGAAGTCGGCATTGAGCCGCAGTCTTTCGGTCAATGGCGCACGGGGTTACGAGGCGGTCGGAGCTGTGACATTAGAGGGTGATTTCGTGGATCAGAAAGAAGGATTCATGATAGGACCTGAAAAGTCTCCCGGAAGGTTCCTCCAGGGTCCGAATTTATGGCCAGAGGAAAGAGATTGTCCAGGATTTCGCTCCACGATGGAGGAATATTTCGCTTCTGTGCGAAGTCTCAGCGTAAAGATGTTTCGACTACTAGCATTAAGCCTTCATCTCGACGAATACTACTTTGATGCTTTTGTGAATAGCCAAGACTGTTAGAAATGAACTCGATGTATTTGTGGTCTGATAAGTGCTAACCTGTTAACCATATCAGCGACCTCGATGTGCCGTGCACACAGATATCCTCGAGGCACAATTGAGTCGGCAAACCACTTTCGAGGAACCGGTGCTCATACGGACTTCGGTGCCATGACATTGCTACTTCAAGACGATAGTAAGCGTTCTATTCGGAATTTCTTTCTTAGGTTCTAACAGTTTAGTCGGCGGCTTGGAAGTCTTCCACCGACCTAGTAGCACATGGCATCCCGTACCGTACGTACAAGACGCGTATATTGTCAACATTGGCGATATGATGGAACAGTGGACGAATGGCCGATACATGTCTACTTTGCACCGCGTGATTACACCGATTTCGAACAAGGACAGATATAGTGTGGTGTTATTCAATGAAGGCTTGTTGGATCAAGTGATCGAATGCATTCCAACATGTATAGAACCCGGCAAGACTCCTCTATACAAACCTACAACGGTAGAAGCACACTTGCGAAAACGATACGGGCATACCTATGGAGAACCCGAAAGAAACTAGTAACAAGTATTGAACTAGAACGACGGCCATGGTCTGACAACCCTGTCGTATTTGGTTCATATTGACCTAGGACAGTCTTTTAAAAGCAATACGTTTTAGTTCAAGAGTTTGTAGGTTGAGCTTTTGGGAATCTTTGAGACAGATTTTCGGAATATTAATCGTCTACTTTAGTAAAACTACTGCTCATAGTATACTACCTCGTCAGACGTTAGAAAAGTTCCCTTTCGGTTCCCTAGAATGGCGGTGGTACCATTGCGGATCTCAGTTTCCCGTGCCGTTATTAGAAACTTGCATAGACCAAACAAGTGTGGATCTGCCATAAGCCATCGTAGGGTCTCGATGATCTCCGGGCTTAGCCACACGGAGGGATCGTAATGGATGGCGGGAATGTTAGTAATGTAGCTCGTCTTTCCAGGAAGAGTGTAGCCTGATAGCATCTGGGGTTCGAAGGCGACCTGCGCCAATGTCAGCACAATTGGGAAAATACACATCACCTCGTACTGTATATTAACTCATAAATCACCTAGACTGCGGCGAGAGAGACATACCACGAAGGCAATGAGATACCGAAACCGTGCGAAGTCTTCGACATACAAAACATTTGAACGGCCTTCCTTTGCGGCTTGGGCATAGACGGCGTCGATCTCTTCGATCAAACATTCTTGAAGATCCCCGTGGGCAATCAATACGAGCATAGTGAACAAAGTCGTGTTTGCTGTCGTGTCATAGCCTGTATTGCTTTGATATACTTATACCCCATAGACTTCTTGATGGTGCGTATTGGTAATGAGGAAAATATAGGCATTACCCCTATCCTCTTCGTTTGTTAAGGTGGAACGCCCGATCGACTCAATGTGTTTCTTGTCGTTTTCGGCGGCCATGTTCGAGCGCAAGATGGCAGCGATTAGAGTCTCGCGTTGCATCTCAGTACTTTCTTCAAGTGGCTTCTCTTGTGCTTCGGCTACTAATTCATCAATGTACCTGTCGACCTCGTCGGCGCACTGATACGCGATAGGCTATGGAGACCAACGCAGTAGCCAGCGGGGTAGGAGTAGGACGTGAGATCAATACATGGTAACGTTCGTCATGGTATTTGCCAGTGAGTATCAATGGGCAGCTGCAAGACTATATCTGAGATGGCCGTAATAGCAACGATTAAATAGGTACCTATATGGTAAACATAGCGGCCTCGATTTGGCTACTAATTAAGGCTCTTGTCAGTTGTAGTAATTTTATTAACTATAGTTACTAGCCTTTTAAACTAGACGTAGGTTACGAAGAAGTTCCCGGATTTTGCGTGCAATAGGTAGGTACCTACTTATCATACATAGAGGTTGTCTATGTTGGTTGTTTCTCGTTGGTTGTACAGCATCGTTTAGTAATATACCCCCTTTCTTTACTACATATACCCCTACTCATGGGATATATATAAATACCTAGTGTAACCAACACAGGTATAATACCCACCTCTTAAGAATCGGATAGGAGCTATTTATTAATAGGTTCCTTTCAAGTGTTTCCATACCAATTTCCACCGTCATTTACCCGATCAAATATTCCTAGCACCAATACACTTATCATATTCGCTTTTGGTCTCTGAACTGCTTATACGTAACATACCAATTCTTTCACCATGTCGGCCCCTAAAAGCTTTGATTTTGTGATAGTGGGCGGGGGCACAGCTGGGTTGGTGCTTGCCTCACGCTTGACTGAGGACCCTAATGTGCAGGTGCTCGTAATAGAGGCCGGGAAGGACTTGACAACGGACACTAGAGTCAAGACTCCATCCATGTCCTCTGCCCTAATCGAAACCGATGCAGATTGGAATTTGAAAACTATCCCTCAGGTAGGAATGATCCTTTCTCTATATCCTGATGTATAGGTTAAGATACTAAGTTATTGAAAAAGAGTGGTCTAGGAGGTCGACGGACGAAAATTCCTCTCGGGCGTATGCTTGGTGGCTCTAGTGCAATAAACACCCTGATTTTTACTCCCATCGCTAAATCCAACATTGATGCGTGGGCCGATCTTGGAAATCCTGGTTGGGATTACGCCAGTTTCTCGAAATCGATGTCCAAGGTATACAATTTGCCTAATTCCCCGTGGAAAACCGACGGCCATGGTCCGCTAAGCATCAGCATTCCTACTGAAGACAATGGATGGTCACAAGCATGGAGAGACACAATAGCCACTCTGGGTTATCCCACTTCGATGAACCCTTTCACTGGCGAGTACTACGGTGCTATCATGTCTCCTGAAGCGGTTCAAGCCTCTTCAAAGCAGAGAAGCTATGTTGGTTCCGCATATCTTCAACCTGCACTGACCGGAACCAATCTCACCATATGGACAGAGACTATGGTGGATAAAGTTCTTTTTGACACGAAGACTATCATTGAGAATAGTGATGTTCTAGCTACCGGCGTTCAATTCACTAAAAATGGTGAAATAGGGATAGTGTCCGCTTGTAAGGAAATTATTATCAGTGCTGGAACGTACCATTCTCCCAAGGTTCTTGAGCTTTCTGGTATCGGCGATGCGAAACTCCTCCAACGACTCGGAATAGAGGTCGTTGTTGACAACCCCCATGTAGGAGAGAATCTCCAGACGCATCCTTACTGCACCATGACATCCGAAGCTATCGAGGATAAAGATTACCAGACCATTGATGATCTCATACGACAAGAACCATCAGCAATTGCTGCAGCTGCGAAGAAATATGAGGAGAACGAAGGAGGACCCTTCTCACGAAGCGGTCTTAACGCAACAGCCCAACTGCCCCTCCCGTCTAACTTCTTGACTGCTGACGGAACAAGCGAGCTTGATCGCATCTTCAAGGAATGCTGTGGCAAGGCTGAGCTAGGGAAGACAACACCTGCCTTCGCGAAAGCGCACGAGTCATACGTGCACTCTGTACTGAGCTCTAAGACAGAAGCCTCCGCCCTATACTATTCATTCGCTGGATATGCCATGCTTGAAGGCGAAGGTGGATTCGCCCCGATTCCTGCTGGAGTCAAGAATTGGTTTACGGGGGCCACATTACTAGCACATCCTCTCTCTCGAGGTTCTACCCATATCACGTCAAACTCATCTTCATCCCCAGATCTCGCCGTAGATCCAAAGTTTCTCTCCCATCCGTTCGATGTAGAGCTACTTTCACGTCATTTGCAGCAGCTACATGCTATATTCAAGACTGAGCCCCTTGCAAGTTACTTGGTTGAAGGTGGAAAACATTTGCCGTCTAATGTTAACCTCTTCAACATGGACGAGGTACGGGACTACGTCCATAAAAAGGCTGTCTCTGCACATCACCATTCGGGCACCTGCTCAATGATGCCGCGGGAGATTGGTGGAGTTGTAAATGAACATCTGAAGGTATATGGCTGTAAAAATCTACGCGTTTGTGACTTTAGCATTGCCCCTATAATTCCGCGATGCAATCCTCAAGCAACCGTTTATGGGATCGCGGAACACGGAGCTAGCATTATAAAATCTACCTCTTAAATCAGGGTATGAGTAGGATGAATCTGATATGATTTTGGAGTACGGCATTGTTCCCGTTAGTTTTAGTTAGACTCAACATGATCGTCAATATATTTCACACTTCGTCGACATGCTTGCCCAACCCTCCCCGGTAAATGGCCCATATGATAGCCGCACCAAGGCCAGTGGTATTCATCTGTAAATGTCAATGTAAATTGAATATCATATTTCCAGGAATCCATCCCCATGAAAAGACTACAAACCCATCATCAGCATACCATTTACGGTTGGCAAGCTTTGCTGCCCAAAACCGCAAGACCAAAAAGGCTCTAGAAATGATAGTAAACGATATAACCCATTTTAACAGCCAAGTGCCTTTGGAACGTTGGATTGACATGTTTAATTTGGCGTTATATCGTTTCGTTTTCGGGGTGGACAGTTAATCCAATGTTAAGTTCTTCTTACATAAAAGTCAAAGACAAAAAACAAGATAATCCAATATATGGTAGATAAGCTGCAGCATCATCTCGAAAACATGTAAAATTCCCCCTACTTCGAAGATGTTAGGGCTTACTAAATCCCAAATGGTTATCACGGACTAGCTACACCCTATGGAGTAAGTTGCTTTTTATTACCAAAGTTGGTAGCAAAAACAAGCTGCGCCAGGCGGCCCTGGAATACATGGGCTCATTTTTATAATATCACATCACTTCTTAACCAATCGTACCCTTTCAAGTCGGGTTACACGACTGTCAAGGGTTGTAGTCCTACTTTCCCAAGCAACTAACCTAGATCTTTACTCCCTCTCCTCATAGCTATTCACGAGCGCCCCCCCTTCAAGCGCTGGATTTGAATAAACCAATTTTCTTCTCAACTAAACATAGCGACGAGAGAGTTAAAACAAAATATTTAACCTACTCTTTATTACCCGACGTTAATGATAAGTCTCGATCGAAGATGGATAATGAACCCAAGGTCGATAGGTCTTATACCCGAGACCACCGCTTCTGGTCTGTTATTATTGCTCTTAGCACTATGGTATTTCTCGGTTTTCTTGAAAATACTGTGAAAGTGACAGTATCAAGAACCGCGTTTTTAAACTAGTCGCCCTAACATTGCATACACACAACTCAGTGCCGCCGTACAGCCCCTTTTTAGACAGTTATCGAACCTGTTTGGCCGCCGGTTCCTTGCCTTATTAATTGTTGCAATATATATTCTCGGCAGTGGGATATCGGGTGGGGCCAATTACCCTGCTATGCTTATCACAGGTCGTGCAATCCAAGGCGCGGGTAGTGGCGGGATGACCATGATCGTGAGTGTTATCATATCCGATCTCGTCCCTTTACGTGATAGGGGATATTTCCAAGCTATCATAGCAATGACCTTTGGCATTGGGATGGCGATTGGCCCCGTTATTGGTGGCCTTATAGTGCAAAATATTTCGTGGAGATGGGTTCGTATTCTACACCGTTAGCATCTAAGAGACTAAAACTAACATAAAATAGGTCTTCTATATAAATTTACCAGTTGGTGGACTCTCGCTCGTCCTCCTATGGCTATTTCTGCATGTCAAATGGGACAGAGAAACTAAGGTCCGTGACAAACTGAAAGCTATCGATATCATCGGAAATACGGTTCTAGTCGCCTCGACTGTATCAATTCTTATTGCTCTAACCTGGGCGGGTGCTATTCATTCATGGTCATCATACCAAATTATTGTCCCCTTGGTCATGGGTGTTCTCGGACTAATAGGATTTTGTGGGCTGGAAGGCTCTACGTTGGTTCCTAATCCAGTTATGCCGCTACGACTGTTCGCGAATCGAACGTCCATGATTGTATATGCAAACACATTTCTTGTTTCGATGCTTAATTATTGGATATTCTTTTTCCTTCCAATATATTTCCAATCTGTAAAACTCTCAACACCATCTCGATCAGGGGTTCAAATATTACCCATTACCTTTATCCTCATCCCTGGTGCAGCTATCGGAGCAATTGTTTTATCCTCTTGGGGGAAATATAAACTTCTCCACATTGGAGGGTTTGCCCTTCTTACTGCCGGCATGGGATATTTGTCCGTGTTGGATAAAGGCTCTAACACGGCTGAATGGGTCTGCCTTCAGATAATACTGCCCTCTTTAGGTGCTGGGATTGTGGTGGACACACTATTGCCAGCGTTCCAAACTGGAGTCGCTGAGTCGGATTCAGCCGCTGCTACAGCAAGTTGGACATTTATCAGAAGCTTTGGAAATATATGGGGCGTCGCAATACCATCAGCCATCTTCAATTCATATACTAACCAATATGCATATGACATAATTGACTCTTCAGCACAAGAATATCTGCTGCACGGAGATGCATACTCGAGCGCAACAAAAGCCTTCGTCGAAGGGTTTCCTATGCAAGCCCAATCTCAAATCATCGAGGTATTTACGAAGGCTCTAAGCAAGGTTTTCATGATCGCCACAGCATTTTCCGGACTTGCTTTCGTGTTGAGCTTTATTGAAGGGGAAGTAGAACTACGGACAGAACTGACAACGGATTTTGGATTAGAAGAGAAGGAACCGACTGGAACAAGTAACAAGGTGTAATGATACTTATGAGAGATATATTTATGAAGAACATTTATCTCTTAATTGATCTGGATATTAACGTATAACTGCCTCTAAATTCATAGACAATTATTTTTACTAAGAAATATACATCGGCTCCTCATTAGTAAAGTGCTTGTATTATGGTACGAGTCAACCTATATTAACATGTATATAACGTAAAAGCGGAAAGGCAAAAAGAAATATAAGTTCGTAGGTGCTTTAGCTTCACTATTATTCCCTGTGATTTAAGTATTCATTGAAAGCTTACACCAAGAGCTGCGAACCGGAAGATACGATTACCACAACCCCAATGGGAGTGCGACATTTACAACCGATATCGCTGACACTAACACATAAATTACCTTCTTCGTCCACCATTGCTACCACGACTTTGACTTTCTAACTATGAAAAGCAAATGTATATAAATATAAGAGAATTTTAGTTATATTAATAGATATCAATCTGTGTAGAGGAAAACAATGGTTCTGTTGACTGTTATGACCCCCTATTTAATTTGCCCCAGGGGTAGGTATTTAAGCAAGTATTTTGGACGGTCTCTGCACATAACAGAGCTGCCTTCTATCATGTGAAAATCCAGTAACAAGTACAATAGTTGATTCATTATTTAATAAAAAATTCTAGACCTTGTTCTTTTATCAAAAGCTAGTTGCTGATTTCACTTAAAATATTTCCTCATTCTCGTCAAAACACGCATACATAAGCCGAGATCAACATTATCGAGTAGCTTCACATGCGAAACTCTCGGGTTGCTAAAAAGCTCCGATATATGCGGTTCTTATCATCATACGGCATCGGAGTATAGTAGCACGCAATCGAGCTATTATTTCAAGGGTATAGACTAGAGAGCTGGATTGATGTGACGGTGGGGGGGAAGACTGATAAAGGTACTATTAACCCCTATCCCGCGGAGCGTGCCCCACTTCCACCGGGGAAGAATTCGATATTACAACTTAATATCATACTTGTTTTATTTTCATGATTTCTATCGATGGTTTTGACTCCTAGCTTACAAGTAACTGCTGATTCATCATGGAAGGACAGCATACTAACATAGAAGACACATTGCTATCTACCGGCGGGCAGTCTCAGTCTTCACAAAGAGTAGACTCGAGTGCTCCTGAACGGTCCCTTATCGTTCATTCCCAGGCAAATAACTCAGGGCTCTTTTCTAGGTTTCGGTATCACTTGTTTGCAGCTGGATTTGCATTCCTGCTTGGTCCCCTCGCATTTATATGGCCAGGTCAATCCGCTATTGATCCGACAAACTACGTAGAGCGGACAAGGAGAGTCTTGAAAACAACACCGTGGGTTCTGACCAACTCCCAATTTATAATTCTTGCTGATTTATACTTTTATAATTATAGGTTGATTGATGGGCATAATGATTTACCCTGGCAGTTGCGCATAGAGTTGCATAATCGCATATATGATGGCCGAGTTGACTTAAATAGAAGACTCCTGGGTCATACAGACCTTCAGAGAATGCGAACAGGGATGGTTGGGGGTCAGTTCTGGAGTGTTTATGTACATTGCGATGTTCATCAGCAGCACTTTGAAGACCCATCTGTAAGTTACATTTAAAATAATTACAGCTTGACACTTATCTACTAGATGCTGAGACAGACGGACAGTGGATCGTGAGAGATACCCTGGAGCAAATTGATGTCACTAGAAGATTCATCGATGAGCACCCCCAGGATCTCCAGCATTGTGATACGGCGGCCTGCGCCCGTAAAGCTTTCAAGTCAGGCCGCATCTCTAGCATGATCGGCATTGAAGGCGGCCATCAGGTTGGGGGTAGTATTGCTAGCATACGGCAGATGTACAATCTTGGAGCACGCTATATTACCCTCACTCATAATTGCGACAATTCGTTCGCGACTTCAGCGTCTACTGTGGCCGCTGGAGGATCCGACGATGGGCTTTCCAAATTAGGGTATGAGGCTATCAAGGAGATGAATAGGCTAGGCATGATAGTAGATCTATCCCACGTGTCGCACCAGACGATGAGAGATGTGTTGAGTGTAGCACGAGCACCAGTCATCTTTTCGCATTCAGGGGCTTACAGTATAACTCCACATCTTCGGAACGTACCCGACGACGTTCTCCGAACCGTAAAGCGCAACGGAGGCATTATTATGGCCGTATTCGTCAACCGTTTCCTCAAGATGAAAGACCCGGACCAGGCGACTATTCACGATGTTGTAGATCACATATTTCACATTGCCGAGGTATGCGGTTGGGACTGCGTCGGTGTGGGTAGTGATTTTTCAGGAACTCCTTATGTACCTATCGGCCTAGAAGATGTCTCAAAGTTCCCCGATCTCGTTCAAATCTTAATGGAACGCGGCGCGACCGATGAGCAGATCCGCCTGTTTGTAGGAGAAAACATCCTTCGCGTTTGGTCAAGCATCGAGCAGAGAGCGCGCGAGATACAAGCCACAGGAGAGAAGCCTGTAGAAGAAGAATATGAAGAGAGAGAGTGGCATAAGGGGTTAAAAGACTCGCCTTGGATGTTGAGAGGGAGTAGACAAAAAGCTATCGAGGCTGGTGCCGCGGATAAGCCGTATATGTTCAACGTAGATGGAGAAGGGAAGCATAATCCAGCAGTAAAGGGTATATAGAGCACCTAGGTAAGGTAAATAGACCAAGAGTAATATTTTTCAATATTAGAAAGTGATATATACCTGCCTGTCGATACGAGTAGTTCAAAATTGTACATAATTTCTAAAATTGTATACGCATCACTTATTTCCTATCTACCGGTCGAATCCCTTCAGTCAGGTTTATGATTATTGTAATCGTCATAGTTCTCCACAATGGCGTTATTTAGCTAATGGGGGTTATAGACTATCACAGAAGCGTAGCACTACAAGCACAGCATGCTAGACCCATCTACCTAGAATACCCCATTCCTTGCCGACGTTGGTTTTTACTCGGCAGGGGCGAGTCGAATATGGATGATACCATCTTTTGTACACATGCCCCGAGCTTATGTCCGTCGTGAACTTGAGGGGGCTAGTTGACTAAAAGAGATTCGAAATATGGAGTTTCGCCTAATTCCAGAGTGACTATATCGGAGGAATAATGGCATGATACGAGGATTAAGGATGTCGTAATTGTGGTGTTGTACTGCGCAAGCCCTGCTCTGAGATATACGAAAAGACATAACAATCTAGGTACCATATCTAACTCCTATAGTCTTGACAAAATACTACCAGTAGGAGGGGTACACCAGTAAGCTACCATACCCACCTTATTCATCTCGTAAGTCTACCTAGGTTAGATGTAATAGTATTCTATCAACTTTACCCACGTGGTATACTTGACTATACCATTGGCTTCATATCCTTCCAATATGTCACTCTTAGAAATATTGCTTCTCTATATTGTTAAATCTCTCCAACATATTATCTCCTCACTAATCATAGGGCTAATTATTTACCTCATTCAAAATGAAATCACTCGATATCGTAGTAGGATAAAGAATCTTCCCGGGCCTCGCGGATGGCCCATCGTTGGGAATCTTTTCCAAGTACGTAAACACTTTATCATCATCGTAACTCGTGTCTGCACTAACAACATCGCAGCATCCCGATGTGATACCTGCAGAAACATACCGGAAGTGGTCCTTCAAGTATGGTCCGGTCTTCCAGATCCAACTTGGTAATACGACCGCAGTTGTTATCAATTCCACACGGACAGCTAAGCAGTTGTTCCTCGGGCAGAGCCATGCGATGAACTCGCGACCGACGTTTTATGTGTTCCACAAGAAAGTTAGTAAGGCCGTGACGAGCATTGGTACCAGTCCTTGGGACGAGAGTTGTAAGCGAAGGAGAAAACTAGCTGCGGGCGCGCTGAACAGGACGCGGGTAGATACGTACGGGCCGCTCCTGAACCTGGAGGCTCGTGAGTTCCTCAAGGACCTCTATTCGGTATGTCGGGATGGTACTATCGAGATCGATTTCCGGCCCGCCGTGAAGCGCTTCTCGCTAAACTTGAGCCTGACGCTGAATTATGGGACGCGTGTGTCGAGCGTCAAATCTCTAACCGACGACCCGCTCCTGTCTGAGATCATCTACGTCGAAGGCGAGATCTCTAAGTTCCGCGACACTGGCAAGAATTACGCCAACTACATCCCTTTACTGCGGTATTTGGAGCCTCTAGCGCAGTTTCTAGGGCTTGATGTGCAGCCAAAGAATCACGCGGCAGATATCGGACGTCGCCGATTAAAATATAATAATATCCTCTTAGAAAAGCTAAAGGATGAAGTGCGGAGGGGTGAAGATAAGCCGTGTATTCAGGGGGCCGTGCTCAGAGATCTGGAATCTGCGACATTGACGAGAGAAGAGCTGATCAGCGTCAGCTTGAGCATGATGGCGGTACGTCCTCGATGATCTTATATTTTAACCATGCTGAGCAGTAACTTATACGTTTATGTTGAATAGGGAGCTGACTCGAACCAACCTACCCTTTCATGGGCCTGCTTACTTCTCGCGCACCGACCAGATATACAAGAAAAGGCTTACTCCGCAATCAGAGATGCAGGGGTCCTCAGCTTACCATCAAACGCATATGCTTCTACGAAAATCGAGTACATCGACGCCTTAACGAAGGAAATCTCACGATACTTCGTAGTGTTGAAACTAGCCCTCCCCAAGGCCACTTACACCGATGTGACTTGGGAGCGTGCTACGATTCCGGCGAATACAATGGTATTCCTAAACTCCTGGGCTTGTAATCGAGGTACGTCTTAAATCTTCCGACGACTACATAAACTTGACTGTCCGCTTGAAACTAAGTCCTCCACTCCAGATCCGGAACTCTTCACTGAACCAGAAACGTTTATCCCCGAGCGCTGGCTGCAAAATTCTTCTAATGCACACGCCCACCAATTCGCATTTGGAATCGGTGGGCGTATGTGCGTGGCATCGCATCTGGCTCATAATGCTTTATACACGGTGTTCTTGCACCTAATTGCACATTTCCGTATCCTACCAGCTGAAGGAGAAACAATAGAGGCAATTGATCCGATTAAGGGGTTACAAGGCATGGCCTTTGTTGGCACCCCACGCGGGTGGCGCGCTAGATTTATCCCGAGGGGAGGAGAAAAGCTTGCAACTTGGTTAGAAAATCCCGATAGTTCATGATGAGAAATGGGGAGATGTGACTGTAGCATTGGGAGCTAACTAATTGGAATACTCAGAAGCTATAGCATACCTATTTAGTGTATCTAAATCTTCATGTTGCAAGCGACTCAGCAGGAGCCCCTTTTCAGGCTATAGTAATAGCTATATCTTCAAGACATTCTAAATCATTTTAATACGCGGCAGGTACAACGCCTAATCGTCCTCCGTCTGTCACCAGCACGTTTCCATTGATATAAGCGCCAGCCTTGCTCACCAAGAACAGAATCGCGCCGGCAACATCTTCCTGATCACCAAGTCTCTGCTCGGGAACAATGCTCTTGGGCCACTCCTGAGTTGGTCGGTTTTGCAGCAGAGGCTCGGTCATTTCGCTTGGGTAGACTGTCATATAAATTGTGTTAGCAACCTAAGACGGTATTAGCTACATATGAAAGGGCCAGCTTACATCCTGGGGCGATGACATTGGATCGAATGCCATACGGCACAAGAGCGGTTGCCAGCTGCTTCATCATATGGACCACTCCAGCCTTAGAGCTTCCGTATGCGTATCCAGCAGCAGGGATTCTGTTGTATGCTCCAATGCTGGACGTCGCTATAACCTGGCTCTTCTGCTTCAGATTTCCACGCTTGTTTCCTTCGTCGAGAAGCTCTAGGAATGCAGCGACGGTGAAAAACACGCCTGTAGAGTTTATGGCATATGTGTTATTGAATTCAGCCGTATCCCAGCCGAAAACAAAGTTGCGGAAATCCGAAATACTGGGGTTTTGCGGCAATGCGCCCATCGTAGGGCCTGATACACCAGAATTTGCTACAACAACATTGACATATCCTACTGCTGACTTGATCTCGGCGACGGCCCGTTCAAGGTCGGCCTTGTTAGACACATCGCCTTGGATTATTCGAATGTTTCCATGCTTCTATACCCACGCAAGTAACAGATAGTTAAGTTAATAACGCATCTGGGAGCTGTAGTGTTTGGTGAGGCAACGTACAGCAGTGGCAGCAGCTTTCTCTAGAGTCTCCTTGCGGCGACCAATAACGTAGACAATCGCACCGTTGCTCTCCAGGGCATTTACCATCATGAGACCAATACCTATATTTTATGTTCAGTTAATTGACTTATAGATAAGCGGCCATGAGCCAAACCCACCGCTTCCCCCTCCCGTTACAACGACGACTAACCCTTTGACTCCGAAGAGATCATTGGGTTCTACTGAGGGAGAGGCCATTGCTTTAAATAGGTAAAATTGGTGATATTCTTAATTCCTGAGTTTGAAAAGTGTAACAGGTAGTATTAATTATGAAGCAGCTCTTGTAATTGCGGTTGAACGTGAGAGATATTTGTAGGTAATCAACGGAAGGAGAGCTGAAAAGACGAGGACATTAGTGGAAGGTACCTACCTTATGTACCTACCTAGGTTAGGTACCTAACCTAAACCCTAGGTAGTGGCATCTGGCCCGTACCTAATAGGTATAGGATTTCTGACTGCAGGTGCTTACCTCACGTACATGCCCGAGCTGCGTGACGAGATTAATCTTACCTAAGGTAGTTTTGCTGTTGATTAGAGGAGAAGGAGTCTAATCATCCCTCCTTTCCATCAATCATCATGCGCATAGCACCAAATAGAAATCGGGATCTTAGATGTAATAACTTTAACATGTTCTGTTGCGATTTCAATTATTCTTCACTTAAACCCCGCAGTCTCGTATCGATCCCTGGAAATCCGTTGCGGGCAGAATGCAACGCCAGATCAGGATACGAGCCCGGCCTACGATACGACTTAATGCCAATAGCCATGGACTGACTACCATGGACCCATTCAAGATGGCACATTGCAAAGATCCGGCTATTTATGTTCTTATGATAGACCTCTTTCCGCGAACTCCAATCTGAGCTGCCATAAATCATCCACTGATGCATCATGTTTCGCTTCAGTAGTGAGCTTCCCATCGTCGCCTTCGCTTGGCTCTTCTGCTGTGTCGCATGTCAAAGCGACAATCTGGGCCTTAAGAATGGCTATATCACTATTAAAACTGCCAATTTCAATGCTAAGATTGTTCGCGATGCCCAAGTACTTGCGTCGTTGAGTCCGGCAGGAGATTCATTTGACTTCCTACCCTTTGACTTAATTTCGGCTCGGGCTGGAAATGGCCAGTATCATTGGGGTGATATTACATACCGTTATCGCGAAGATAATAATGGTCCGTGGATCGACGGCGACTCTGCCGCTTCCCGGAAGGCCGTCACCACCTACAAGGTCGGGACAGGAGTCCTAGCTTCTTCAGGCCTGACACCAACACTTCCCGGCGGGGGACCTTTGAATGTGACTCGTGAATGGCTCGATGTCTCCGGTGATCTGGCTCTACGTTTCACAATCGAGAACTCGGGAGCGTCTCCCGTTGAGATAGGCAGTTTGGGGTTTCCCGCTGAGTTCAACAGCATTTTTACAAATCGTGCCGCAGGCGATACGCAGCGTCTGTGTTCACTATCTGATCCATATGTCGGAATGCACGCGGGTTACATCCGCGTCAGCCCTGTTCGAGGAACCGGTGCCGCGCTTGTCGTTACGCCACTTGGGGATACTCCGTTGGAAGCATATCGCAATTTAGACGAGCCTTATTACCAGGCCACAGATTATGGCAGTCAGACCTTCGAGGGCTTCTATGAGTGGCAAGTCCTTAGTCGCGCATGGGCTGAGAAAGAATGGGCAAGTGTGAAATCGTGGAATACGCCTTCGTCAAAAATCCTCCAACCCGGTCAAATACTACAGTTTGGAGTGCGCTTTTCCGTAGCTAAAGGTGGCGTCCGTGACATTGACGAAACTGTGCGAAAAACCGGCACCCCTGTAGCGTATGGTGTTCCTGGATACATCATCCCAAGAGGATCAACATCGCAACTTTTCTTGAAAGCCGAGTCGAACCCGATATCTTTTTCCAGTGAACCTGTAGAGTCCATAGCCTTCAGTCAGCTCTCATCGGGCTCATACGGTATAACTCCATCTCCAACTTTTTGGGGTCGCTCAAGGCTTACAATCGACTACGAGGATGGAAAGACCCAAACAATACATTACTACATCACTAAGTCTGGCACGGAGGCTATTCGAGATCTAGGACGGTTTCTTACAACGAAGCAGTGGTTCAATGACACATCCGACCCTTTTGGTCGTGCTCCTTCGGTTATGAGTTATGACTACGAGGCTAGTTCTATCGTGACGCAAGACCCGCGAGTCTGGATCGCCGGACTCAGTGACGAAGGAGGCGTGGGTGCATACCTCGCTGCGATTGTGAAGCAGGTTATCCAGCCAGATCCCGAGGAGGTATCAAAGCTCGAGATGTTCATTGACAAGGTTCTCTGGGGCACTATCCAGACGACAGATTTCGGTGTCCGTAAAAGCATATTCTACTACGATCCCTCAGTCGTCCCAAAATACACCTATAATTCTGCTTTCGATTGGTCTAGCTGGACTTCGTGGAAAAAGGATGCGGCCTACGCAATCGATCGGGCCTACGACTACGTTCATGTTGCAGCAGCCTATTGGTCTTTATACCGCGTGGCGCGGGCCTACCCTGCGATAGTAAAGAGCCATGATTGGAAATGGTATATCAACCAAGCTTATAACACTGTCCTACGCGGGATGCAGTCCGACGTTGCATATAACGAGGTTGGACTAATGGGTGAGACAGTATTCGGGGAGATCCTTATCGATCTTACTCGGGAAGGGCTAACTACGCAAGTTAACACGCTCACTAGAGCTATGAGATCAAGAGCTGCACAATGGGATTCTGAAGAAGTTCCTTACGGAAGCGAGATGGCCTGGGACTCCACCGGCCAAGAAGGAGTTTACTACTGGGCGAAGTAAGCACTTTGTCTCTATATTTACGACCATTTAACCTAAGATCGCCACTAATAGAAGTTACCAGATATTTCGGCTTCTCAAACACAGTAACAAAAACAGTAAATAGCGTTCTGGGTTATATGCCCACGGTTCCCCACTGGGGATGGAATGGGAACGCTCGTAGGTACTGGGATAATATTTACGGGGGCAAGCTCCAGCGCATTGAGCGGCAAATCCACCATTACGGATCAGGCCTCAACTCTCTGGTTCTCCTCTCGGCCTTCCGCAGCAATCCCACGGATACCTACCTCCTTCAAGTCGGCTACGGTGGCGCCAGTGGGCCCCTATCCAACATCAACGAGGCTGGATTCGCGTCTGCGTCCTTCCACTCTTGGCCGGATACCTTGAAGTGGGACGGTTACAGCGGAGACTACGGTCCCGGGTTTCTGGGGTTGGTTCTCGGCTCTGGCACGTACGTCGCGCAGCACACTAGTTTCGGACTACTCGCGTACGGCGGCGTGCTTTCCAGCACCGATAACAAGGTCAACGTGCAGACTAACGGCCCTGTGACTCGACGTATCTTTATAGGACCATTGGGTGTGACAATAAATGCGGATGCAGGCAGCATAAGCAGTTTCAGCTATGCAAGCTCATCGGGTGCTATTTCCGTCGTACTAACGCAGCTTTCCGGTGCACCAAAGGCGGCCGCCGCGGTTTTGTGGGTCGACAATAGTGGGGACTCGGCCTCGTACCGCATATCAAGCCCAGAAGCGACTCGTGAGCGATCGGGGTGGCGGATCCCGCTGACAGCTAGTGGTAATGTGGTGGTTGAGTTGACAAGGGGTTAGGTGAGGTACTTATACACTATGTATACCTATTTATCCTATCAAATTAACTACCTAATTCAACGAATAATTCAGTAACTCTTTAGGACCGTGTTAAGGAGTTAGTAACGCTATAAGGGACATGATTTTAGCTACATCACAAAATACGGGGTATGCATTTTTTGACGGCCGGCTTGATGATTCTCGGGCTTACCATTCCAGTCCTTTACTACGATTATCACGTATGCGATCAAGACACGGTCTAGGTACGATCATGCGAGGTACTCAATTCGATACACGGATCGATTCATCCACGTCTATTAGCAACGCCTTTTTTGCGTCCAACGTACAGTGGTATCGGTCAGCCGTGCTCGCCCATTTTGTTCACTCATTTATTCCTCTGCACCCTCCGGCCCCGGCCCTTGTCGGCCCATCTGGCGCGCCTTGAGCATTTCGTCGCAAAGTAGGAGATTAGACGCGATACTTGATGAAGAGGCCACGCAGTTCCTCAGTACTCTAAATGAATCGTAGACACCCTCCAAAGTAGGGTCCATAGGCTGGCCAAGCACTAGATCCAATCCGACAACGTTGCCATCTGCGTGCTCGTCTTGGAGCGAGGCAACTGTGGCAGAGTTAGTATAGATAAACTTAATTATAAAGGGTAAGGATAACACATACGTGCGTCTTGAATATCGTGACCCGCATTCGCAGCGAGAGTCTTGGGAATGATTAGGAGCGCGTCTGCGAATGCGTCAACACCCCACTTGGCCTTGCCCTTAACCGTCTTCTTGAAGGCATCGCTCTTCAGGTGAGCAGCGCATGCGACCTGGTAGGCACCGCCACCGGGAACGACGCTCTTGTCCACGATCATATTGTATACGCTTCGCAGGCCGTCCCGAACCGCGTCCGTAATCTGTGTGATGGTGTGGGCATTTGGGCCCTTGATCATTAGCGTTACGGATTTGGGATCCTTCACTTCCTCGATGAAAGTGTATTTCTCCTCGCCCAGCTGCTGTTCATACACCAAACCAGCCCAGCCGAGCACGTCAGGGGACAAATCCTCCACACTGTTCTGCGCGACACCGCCGCAGATAAGCTGTAATCTCTCCATGTTTCTCCTCTTAGCTCTTCGCAGAGCAAATATGCCGTTCTTGGCTAGTACATCTAGGGAAAGCGGGTCGATACCCTTCTGGTTCACGATAACGAAACTCTTCTTGGGGTCATTTCCGCAAACCTCCTTCTTCAAGTCCACAATCTTCTTGAGCTTGGCATCGACGAATCGGCGTTCGCTCTCGACTAGTTTGTCGCGCTGTTCCGCGCTAGAATAGAAGAAACTCGAGTTGATTTCCGACTTCTCGTACTCCAGGCTAACATTCATAGTCAGGATGAACGCATTTTCCAGTCTCTTGGGCATATCAGGATGTCTGGCACCATGGTCCAAGGCTAGACCGCGGATGAGTTGGGTATCTGAAGCGGTACGGTGTTGCATCTTCATGATTTCCACCATATGTAGATCCGGCTTCGCAGGTGCTTCGTAAATGGCGAGGACGGCGTCGACAATGTCGGGGGTCAGCTTCTTAGCAAGGCTTGCATTGAGTTTGGTAGATAGAGACGTCCGAGCGACGGAGAGCAGGAGTTCCCTGTCAACCTCTTTCGGGAGCTTAAAGGAGTCCAAAAACTATGACACCAATTGAGTATACGGATTATGCAGAATGAATATGGCAGCATACCTTTAATGCCTCGTTCTTTGCGATCTCGAAGCCCTCTGTTATGATTCGAGGGTGTAATCCTTCGGCGATGTATCTGTCTGCCTGCTTTAGAAGCTCCCCTACTAGCAAGACTACTGATGTCGTTCCATCCCCGCAAATATCGTCTTGCGCCGTCGCGGCTCGAGCAATCATAACTGCGGTCGGGTTCTGTATTTGCATTTCCCTCAACAGGACGTTTCCATCCTTTGTCAGTTTGATCTATCCGGTAAATGTCAGCTTGGTGTCGTATATTTTATATGGCGTCAAGACAGCTCGTACCTGTCCAGAACCATCGACAAGCCTGGTATAAAACGTTAGCAGATAATTTTGTAATTAAATAATAATTGTGCGTACATCTTAATAGTTCCTAAAGGACCCAGGTTGGACTTGAGAACATCTTGTAGACCTTCACCCGCGCTGATGTTGACTCGAAGAGCTTCACCCCGCCGCTTGCCTAGAAGTCAATATCACTGTTTCGTACATATTTGAGAATTTTGGTAGACAAAACGTACCCGAGATTCGGCCTTGGGATTAAGGAGCTGAGCGGCAGACATTATAATCCGACGTAGTAGAACTTGCTGTATAAAAGTGCCGTGTTCAGGTAAAATTTTTGTGGTTATCGTCGTCGTCGAGGGGCACACAGCGTTATTGGGAGATGGGAGATGGGAGCTTGAAGCGGGTCAAGAAAGCACCGACAACTTTTTTTTCTTGTACGGAATAGCCTTATTTCTTAGTACAAAGGTACATGCGCACGCCCAATATGAAATAAAGTCTTCTTAATAATCCGTTTCATGGCAGCCTTGCCCCACGTAGTACGTAGATACATTTAGTACCTAATCCATATAATCCATAAAGGTGGGGTACCTACCGAAGATGTGTCAACCCTTGCAACTGAGACCCCACCTATCATGACCTCTTTCCAGATATCATTATACGCGATATCATTCTATCCGGTTCATCTTCACTTCTCTTATAAGGCAGCAAGGGAACTTTTAATATGAATTCATCATTTCACTACCTGAATCAACTCAACGCACCGTGAAGGTCGCCATCAAACATTAACCATTGAGGAAATTGCCGCATCTCCAATCTTGAATCTGAAGCCCCAGTCGACAGTATTTATTCGGCTTCGATCCAACCCCCCTCAACCCTCTTAGCCGTCCCGCGTACGGAGAAGTCGGTTTCACTTTCATAGCTTCGATATCAAGATGGTACCTACTCTTAGGTAAACTGAGTCATACGGCCATCATAGATATTGTATGCCAGAACCATACCTCGCCGGTTAGAGACGACCTCCAACCCATCATAACCCCTTCTATTGTCCCAGTGATTTGGCCAATCTTGACTTTGCTCTGGGACCGGTGTAGGCGTTCTGTCGAAAACAATAACCGGTCGGATCTCGGGCATCTTAGCAATTAGTCTGCGTATGGTATCGTGCTCTCTGTTCAGTGCTCGTCGTCGGTCCTGGTAGCCGAATTTGATGTCGGTAAACAATTCCGACTCAAATTGGTCTTCCTTAGACACTCTTAACTGTGAGAAAAGCCACTGCTCCTCAAACAAGAACTTCAGGTCGCGATCCCATTCGCCGTGGAGGCGTTTCAGCAAACACGAGGGGCGTCTATGAGCCATATACTGTAATGACTCCACCCTATTTATATAACCCCCGCGGATGTCATTGAAAATAGGACGTAGCATCGTAGGGAGCCTCTTATCATCTAACCCCACGACGCCAACATCGCCTCCCTCACCATAGGCATCATGCTCTTTATCCCAGCTGACACCTTTGCACTTGATAGTCAACATCGCGAGATCGATGGCACGGACACCTTCGAAGTATCCTGACTGTATAGCCCACTTAAAGGCTTTACTTGGCAGTCTGCCGCGATACTGGTCTTCAACTGTTTCAAGAACGTTGAGGATCACGGTAGCGCCACCCATACACTTTCTCCATCCATGCCATCTTTTGAAGATATGAATACTTGGGATGTAAATTGAATCTCGCCTGGGGTCAAACCATTCGCAGTGGATTGGCTTGTCAAAACCACAGAAACGCAAACCTATGCCCCATTTCGACACAATCCTCTTAGATTCGCGGCAAACTAAAGATAGTTCTGGAATGCCAAACGAAGGATAACGGCGGTAGAAATCGTTCAAATAATCAACCTGCGAGTGGAGGTAGATAACTTTGCCTTGTGGCACTGCGATAACAAAAGTTAGTAATAATTTCATTTAATAATGATTCAAGATATTTTGTATGTTTGGTTTAAGGGGGGTACTTAACAAGAAAGTATCGGTAAAAATAAAAGATAAAGGGGAAAGTTGAACTCTCAATGTTAGATACATACTAGCCATTTCCCAAATTTCTGCGCGGATTTCATAAGGGAGAAAAGGGAAGAGGTGGAAGGATTTGTGTATTTTTTGTTCCTCTGCCTCTACGCGTCTCTTTTCTATAACCCATTGGGGAGTTATCACTGGTCTTACGCTTCTAACTTTTGGCTGCTGTTCAAGTGGATTGTAGAGATGGGCGTTTTCAGGCAGAAAGTCGCGTTTGCTGGAATATGTTCCATCAGCATTCTTTTGGGGCCTATTGCCAATGATTACGACCCTTGGCTTTTTGTTTAGACGCATCTTATGTGAAGGACCCATCCTATACAGTAGAAATATTATCGGTTAGCTAACGGTATAGTCTCTCTTATTTCATGAACAAACATTCCAAGCCTAATGATATACCGTTGACGAGACTTACTTGTCAAAGCCAGGAAAAATAGAAACCAATATTGTTAGTGGTGGAAGATACCGATAAGAATAGACGCGTGAAAGGGTTTGTTAAGCCGGAATCAGCAATAGAAACCGGTGTATAGGCTTTTAAAAGGCCCTTATGACAGTTGGTCAAGGTGGATGAATGATGAATGGTTGGCAAATAGTTGGCGCCGGTCAAAGGAAGGTAGGGGCTGTTGGAAACATTGACTTGCTGATATAGAGATAAATAAATAACGTACGCGAGTGAACGAACCACCCAGCGCCCAGCAGAGTTTGCACCTAACGTGTCTAGATTTAGAGGGTCCAAGTATTGAACAACAGTAAATCACGAAGATAGGAAGGCGAAGATTAGCAGCTGATGAGCTTTTCTTTCAACTAGAATATTTATGGGGAGGGGAACTTTTGTGCCAGAGTTGACGAAGGAGTTCATGATGGTAGTGGATAGTGCGACTTAGGTATCTTACAAGTGGATAAGTAGGTGCCTAGGTATTTCTTAACAATCTGCCTGACGGGCCGACAACAATATGGTTGACTACATGATACGACTAGATGGAGATGTGTTTTCCTCATCAAGTTCAAATGTTATCTGCCAATTTTTCACGATGACGGAAGTGACGAAGTGTGCATTCTGTTCTATACGCCCTCAGGAAAAATTAATACTAGTACTCACAGTTGCTTCTCAATCTTTTTTCCACCTTTGTACAAGGCTGTACTTACAGTTACTGAACATTACCTAGATAGGGAAGTTGGAAAATATCCACATAGAAATAACAAACTGAGAGTATACCTCATAGTTAGTGGACATGGTGGTATTTCTAGGGATATTTAACACTCCTAGTTGGGGGAAACTATCCAAAGGACAAATACCAAGAAGGCGAAGAACAGGACCATACGATAATTTAAAAGCTCCAAATATACTTGTGTGGCCGACTACTCTGAATTAAAAGAGGGTGAATGTGCTGTCGTCTGATTGATCACTTACATAGTCCATCCATGATTGGTCCAGTGACTGTAATACTTTTCAAATATGAGAAGGGTTTGCTTAGATTTATTGCTTAAAGTATTTCATTCGGCGTACAAGCAAAACTTAAAGTATTATTAACTTTGGGAAAAGTCAAAATCCAAAATATCGCAGTGTTTTTTTGGCCTTATAAAACACCAATAATTCGGAAAAGGGGTAGCAAACTGTTCAAACTCTAGTTGTCCTTATGCTTGTTTATAAATAATTCATATATCAGAATATCCAGATAAGAGTAAATTTTCCAATGATGCCAATGTGGCTCGTGCGTTCAACATCATGGATACCTAGTGGATGTCTGCACATTCACCGTCTGATCTATCAGCCGATGTCTTTATCATCATAAACATGTCAACTACAACTATAAGAAGTCAATAATGCATTTCACACATTCATATTCTTTGGCGTGTTTATTAGCACCATTAACGGCTGCTACTACCGCCGGTAATGTTGACTTTCAACATGTGAAGCAAGTCGCGATCATAGGTAAGTTGAAATTGGACAATTATCTTACAGCCTAGCATTCGATAAGGAGCCCCAATACCAATGTTGAAGCTACCAAATTTAGCATAATCACCCACACTAATATTGGCCATTGATATTATTCCCGGGATACTGCTTTGTTAAACGGTTAATTTCACATTACTTCCTTGTTACTGACACGTTCCCTAGGTGCTGGCGCTGCCGGCTCCTCCGCGGCTTACCACTTGCATAAATATGCTCAGCAGGAAGGCATCGACGTTAATATCACCATCTTTGAGAAAACCAACCACATAGGTGGCCGCACTCTCACAGTAAATGTATACGATGACCCTCTCAGTCCAGTCGAGCTGGGAGCCTCCATATTTGTCGAGGTGAACCACATCCTCTACAACGCTACTAGGGACTTCAACCTACTTGTTACCGAGCCAGGTACTGATGAAAAGGGACTACTTGGTATCTGGGATGGCAAGCAATTCGTCTACACGCAAGACTCGGAATCCTGGGGGTGGTGGAACCTTGCCAAGCTGTTCTGGAAGTACGGGACTGCCCCGTATTACACCCATCGGCTTGTTCAAGAAACCGTAGGATCCTTTTTGAAGCTCTACCAGTCGCCCTACTTCCCCTTCAGATCTCTCTCGACCAGGGCGTATGAGCTTGGCCTTGTTCAAATAACGGGCTTGACTGGGAAACAATTTTTAGCCGAAAACAAGCTCGATGGGCCGTTTGCTCGTGATATTGTGCAAGCAAGTACCCGTGTGAACTATGCCTCGAATCTACAGTACATACACGGCCTAGGCACTATGGTCGGTTCTCATAACGGCTCTTAGGAACTCAGACGAGACTAACATTCGAGTCTAGGTTGCGATGGCCCCTGAAGGAGCAGTAGCTATTGCCGGCGGCAATTGGCAGATATTCTCTAATATGGTGGCGGCCTCTAAAGCTCACATCTCCTTGAACTCAACTGTGGCTGTTATTACCAAGGAAAAGAGCAGTGACTCTAGCTCAGTACCACCAAAATACAGAATACAGACTGCGACGACCGGTGCTACTAATGACGAGGCAGAGGCATACCCAGTTGCCTTCGACGATGTTGTCATCGCAACGCCGTACCAATTCAGCGGCATCAGTCATGATGAGAATGTCATGCCCCACCCTGTCGACTCGATCCCGTATGTTGAGCTGCATGTGACACTTTTCGCATCTCCCTACAAGTTCAGCGCGGAGTTTTTCAACCTCGAGTCTGCATCTACTGTGCCTATCTCCGTACTCACGACGTTAGGTGAAGATGACGAAGCCAGACCTGGACCGGATGGAGCTGGCAGCGCTGGTTTCTTCTCCGCGACTTTGGTAAAGGTGGTGACAAACCCCAAGACGCACAATGCGGAGTACGTGTATAAGATCTTTTCGCCTCATAAAGTGACACCCGAATTTTTGTCCCGATTATTAGGCGTTGAGGTGCCGGATACGTTCACTCGACCTAATAATAACGAGGAGGAGGACACCAGTGAGGGTGCAACAACCGTTCTCGACCCCATCTCGTGGTACCATCCCACCATCTTCCACCCTTATCCTCAGAAGTACCCTCGCGTCACGTTCCAGGACCCCATTTTAGGGGACGGGCTATACTATACATCGGGTATCGAGAGCTTCATCTCGACCATGGAGACGAGTGCGCTCATGGGTATGAACGTCGCGCGACTTATTGCTGATGACTACTTGAGTAAACTGCGCGTTGTTGACAACGAGGAAGAGCACTCCCAGAAAGTCTTGTCTGAGTGGCAGAATGAGACTACGACAGCACACGATCTGCCCATCGAGGACACGGAGGAGCTTTAGATAAAGTCTCTTTCGAGTATCATACTATAGTACCTAGCTTATACAAATTGACTAATTCTTCTATCCGATTACACATTTGAAAGTCCAATATTCCCTCTGCTCCTTGCATTATTTCCATTCCAAATCCGCCTGTAAATGGGCTGCGCAGTCGGTTGATTTGGTGGTTGGGAAGAATAACCGTCGACATGACAATTCCCTTGTTCTTGCTCAGACAGAGAACCACTTGAACTAATTCCATTTCCAATACCCCCCTGCATGGCCTTGGCACGTTCCTCTTCTGCCAACCGTTTCTTGACTGTTTGTACCAGGTGAGCTTTCCTAGCCTTGCTTTTGACGGGATCAGAGAAGACATTCGCCTCATGCTGAAATTTCTTGCTTGGCCAGCTAGCATCGCGCCAGCGGTTATATAAGCCAGATTCCACCATCAATGCAGCAATGAATCTCTTCCATAGATAGAATAGGCCAGCACAAATCCAGCCGCCGAAAGCAAGCAGCAAACTCAAGATAATGACTGCAGCCGAGATAGTGACTTAAAATTTTTGATATTATGTTAGTTTAGGTATATACTCGTAGCAGGAATGTCGTCTTACACATGTACAAGAATTCCCGGTGTATAGACCAAGTTTCACTGGTAATCTCGATATTATTCATCCCGAAAACGCTGGACATGAACGATAAGGGGAGCTAGATATCGTTAACATGCAATGAGGAAATTCAGGCTTGAACTTACAAAAATGATCGTCACAAGCGTAAACATCATGACCGACCTTCCCTGCTTGATGGTCTCGTCTGATTGATGGAGAGCTACCCATGCCTGGATCACACTGGCATGTTGTTGTTTAAATCCCAACTGATATTTGACCTAAAGCTTTTAATTAGCTCATGTTTCTCATATGAATTTCATTGAAAGGGAGGATATAGTAATTAGGTTGGCTCTTACACTTTCGGCAGTACGATGAGCAGCACTTCGTAACTCCTCAAGTTCCTCGATACGTCCAGTAATGACCCCTTGTAATTCATCAGCACCAAGCTTAAACCAGTTGTAGTCTTCCGGTCCCTTCATAACCAACGACTTATTGTCTCCCATATCATCCTTATCTGGTGATAGTGAGTGGTGGTCGGTTATTTTCGACTTTATGCTATCGCCGAACCGTCCAATTGGACCCAGCAAACTTTGGGCATTAGTAGTGAATGCTGCAATCATTTCCTTATGCACCTTCGTGATATGTATCATAATGTCCAATTCTTCCACTATGTCCTTTAGGTCCAGCTCAAGCTGACCTTCTGGGTAGATATCAATGAGCGTCATAAGTTCCAAAGTGTCAACATCCCAATTGGAATTGTAGATTTGCCTGGCATCCCTAGCCCAGCGCCATAATCTATCAGAAATGATGGTTTGCTTGTGTATCTAACAGTGACCATTAGAATCAAGCTAACCCATTATCAGGTTATGATACTCACAGCATTCCCAATAGCTTTGGAAAACACGTCGATTACTTGGGGTTGTAGGCTCGTCACTCTTGGTCGATTGAACAAAGAACCAACACACGCTTCAATGATAATGAGCCCTAGGTCGAAGACAGTACGGATCTGCTCAGGGTTAACTTCCTGGATGCGATCCCTAATCGATTCGTGGACGGCCGAACTGTCCTGCCTATTCGAACCGTACTGGTTTGGAAAGCAGGTGATGATCGTTTTTGCATCTAAAATCCACATCCATAATTGATCCACCATAACAACACGAGATACTTTCCGGATATTTCTGTTACATTCTTCACATTTGCCTCCGATGTCAAAATCCATGTGGCCTTCCCACCTGCTAGTCTCCGGATTATATTTGTGGAAACTTTCATGTTGTGCGGTTGTATGTTTGTATACAACTTGGTCTCGGTCTCGCTCCCATGTAGAATGAAGTGCCCCGTGGTGAGCTTGATAGAGGGTACGCCGAGGATGAAGGGGCGGATTTGCGGAAAGATATTGACGTAGTAGCTTCTTGTCTCGATAATTCGACATACCTTCATACAATCTTGCGGCATCAAGGAGGAGCTGGCCTAAAGGATGTCTGATCTTAAGCCGGCCATTATGGTCTACTTCTAGCCGACTTTTAATCAAACATTTCTCTTTCATAAGTTTTAGGAGGGTGCTCATAGTTGCTACCTTTACCATAGACTTTCGTTGTGCCCGAGGTAAAGCTATCCGCTGGCTGTATAGATTGTCAATTCCTTCAAGTCTTTCTTCCGCAATCTTTTCCTCCGTCTCCATGGAGAATTGATCATTATTTCTCGATGTTTCCCAGTGAAGGTATGGCATCTATATTGGATTGAATTAATTAAATGGATATCCCATTTCTGGAAGGAAAAACTTACGAAAAGAACCATGTTCCTATGGAAATACTTGACATCTTCTAAATCCGTAACACAATTAATATAAGTTTAGCCTGTTTAATGCAAAAATACTCCGATTACCTGATGATATCGTCGCGCATAGCGGCTTCATATGCCTTGCATGCGCGGGGTTATGAGGTTGATTGCCGCGCAGTTGTCCGCGCCAATATTGGTTCCGAAGAACCATATCAGCTTTTGTCTTTTTCTTTCGGTTTAGCTCGCGATGGGTAGTGTGGTAATTTGGTCTTTCTTCACCGAAGTATCGTCCGATAGCTCGCTTGAAGCTGTTAGCTTATACACCTAGTTAATCTAAGTAGATATCTACCTGGTAGGTAGGTATATCCTAATGAACGGCAGACTCACTTCGACCCACTAGATTACAATTAGCGGAGAGCTCAGCTAATTGTGTCGCGTAGGTAGTATATGACTTACATCCATGTTGTTAGACGGAATGTGGAAATATCTAATGACCCGGTCAGATGAATAGTTGTCATGTTGCAGGAGACTGTCTTGGTCATTTAGCAAACTGCTAAGTGTTGTCTTCTGGTTCGGAAATCTATTCCACACTCTATGGTCACGCAGTTCATCCCGTTTACCTTCATTAAACTGGATTATAGGTACAGTGACGTCTTTTTCTGGGTCATATTCTTCATCTCTGGGCGATACATAAAATGGCTGTGAGTTCCCTTTTCCCTTTGCTCTTCGATCACTCTCGACAATTAAAATGCCGACCTTATTAATAGGGGACACACGCCACGCACCAAGACTTTCCTGTATCCTGCATACCAGATGTTTGTCCTTAATATTTTTAAATAACTCTCTGCGAAGAAAGCCGATGCGACTTAATTCGTTCTCGCAGTCAGCTTTCCAAGAGTTTCTCTTCAGCTCGGTAAGCATATATGCTTCCTCATGGCTATGGCCAAGCACTTTCTCCTGGTGTTCAACTTCGTCTTTCCATATCTGGGAGTTTTCGTTGAAGAAGTCTTCTCGATCACGATATTCAATACATCCAATGTAATGAAGTAAATGATCTTTAATATTGCAACCATGTTCCTCAGAGCTTAGGCAGGTAGATTTAGGAATAGCGCTAACATTTTTCTTTGAAGAAGACATGGTGCTTGAATGAAGAATCGTGGGGATAGGTCAGATATCTAGATCCTATGAAAAGAAGAGCTATATATGGTAAGAGAATAATAAGAGAATAATGCTATTATACAGAGACCTAGGTGGCTAAAGCTATGATTCGGAGGTGATATCATAATACCTAAGAACAGGGGGGCAATGTCTATTGTCTAATGGATACGTTGTAATGAAAAACTACGTAGAATATCACATTCGGCCCTTAGAATGATACATCATGTATCACGGGCAGTTACATAAACGAAGACTGCATTTTTTTCACGTTGGGCTGACATGCATCGAAGTCTCCTTGATAAACTGAATGAGCAGCCAATAAGATGTTAGTTATATATACACCCAACGAAACTAAAGCAATGAGGAACGGGCATGTGCGGGAGTGATTCCCCAATATTGGACAATAGACCGTGCTCATAGATGCGGCTGAAGGTGATAATGGACGTTGGAGGCTTCATCGGGATATGAATCGGTGAATGGACTCGCATAAGATACATATGCAGATAAGTGTACCCCCTCCCCCCCTTTATCCGGGGAACACCTCCTAGCGGGCATACAGCCGGCCGAACTTCCCAGCCTGCCTTAGGGTAGAGGACAAATCTAGCAATAATATGCTGTGTTATCCTCAGCTGAAATTGCTTTTCGACCCTTGAGATAGCTATGCTCGTTAGACAGCACATCCTATTGTTGGGTGGCTTCAATTAACTTTGGGGTGAACATTAAGGCATCATAATACGTTGCCACCGTTGCGTATAAGCTGATTTGCTGCAGCGGAAAGTAGAGAAATTACTGACGCGAAATATTCTTACTCCTGCTTGACATAAACTGATCACTTTGCGCCTACAAGGAAGTTAGATTGCTGACTGGTAAAGGTTTAATCCTAAGCTCTGATGACGAAGACCCCTTTGCGCGATGCATATCATTCAACTGATATTCGGCTCCTATCGCAGCCCGTGTCATATTCGATCCCGATATATAGTCTGTAGGATGCATTTCATGGGAAGCATTCCATGGGTTTCCTGGCGATGGTAGGGGCTTCGGCTGTTTCGTTCGCCATCTCCTGGGTACGAGCCGCTCGTACATAATCTCTCTGAATGTTCGAGTAAGGCCAAATACTATCCATATTGCCAATCCAGGTGTCACGCCATATATGTATCCGATAATGTTCGATCTAGCGCGTCCTGCGCTTAGGTCAGGCTGGTCTGCTTGAGCGTCCCTGGCTACATCATCGCGCTGGGGCAGATGAGTGACTATGCTCGCTACTATGAATGCGCTTGTCACGATTATAAGCACAGTCTCTTAGCTGGGAGATTGTCTGATATCGGAAAACGTACGATATGAGAATGATGGCAGTGAAGAGTCGGAACACCAACCAGTTGCTATCAAATACCGATGGCAAGGTTATAGTTACTTGGCTACGGCGTGGTCCAGAATTGTTATCCGAGTTCATAGAGTTCCTAAAAGGAAGACTCCATCTTCTGGAATGTTGCGTAATTGGTAAATATTTCCAGGAGAGCTTCGTGTTGACGTATTTCCAAACGATGACGGATATGGCTATGATTCCAACCGCACAACTCCCAACAGCTATACAGAATCAGCCTATGAATAGCCAAAGCAAGCTTTTCTCTATATAAGAAAGGTGTACATACCTTGTACATTAGCTACGACCATATACACGAAGAAGCTTCTTTGAACTGCGGGTGTTTGAAGTAGCCCGATGGTGATGATGTCCAGCACAAAAGGCACAATCCTACTAGCCACAGTGTAGACTCGCTCGGCAGATCGTCGTGTTCCCCAGTAACCGTAAATAGTCAAAACCATGTGGATTGAACTGGTCACAGCATTAGCATCGTCGGCATATTGAATGAAGCATGCTTTCATACTACGTCATCAGGTAAGAGGACTCTATGATGTAGCAGAACAGCCCTATTCGGCCTCAGTAAGTACCTAGACTTAGCAGCAAGGTGTTCAATATTAATGCGTACGGATGATCGCTAGAGCTCGCATGAACCCAAAGTTGCCATTGTTGAAGATGACATCGGCATTCTCATAGTTCGCTTTGATATAGTAAAGCTGAGCCCACATGAGATCATTCCATAGGCTAGGGAGATGAATTACTACATTTACGTGTTAATTATCAACCTTCATGGAAAACCTACGTGTAATTGTATATCTGCTGCACGATGCTACTCATGGTGCACAACAGGGCGAAGTACGCGATTAAGGCAACATCTGCATGGATATTGGTTAGCATTTCCACGGGTTTTCAGACGTCGATGGGAACACATAGATGAGCTTACAGCTTAACCTCTCGTGACTGATCCAGTAAAGCCATATGAGGAGAATATTGGTAAACAGGCAAATAAACGTGAACAACAGCACGCCTACAGCGTCGCCAATAGTTCCCGCTGGCAATTGAGGCATCTGAATCGTCTCTTAGCCTGTTGTGCTCGATAGTAAAATAGGGCTGATGGAGATGAAATAGAAGAAGTAACATTTAATGCCATCGGAGTCTTACGAATCGGTGGCATGATGTACAATCGGCAAGGGCTTTTCTTGGCGATGCCAATATGCGCCGTAATCACTTACATAGTAGGTACCTATAGCAAACACTTATAGTTCCTTGCCTGTTTTGAAGCTAATTATGCATGCGACTTCTTATTTCATCTTTCCCTAATAATATCTCTCGCAGCAAAGGCCTCGTGTTCAATCTCGTTGGCACACGCTTACATATGATCGCGGATACATAACGCCGCGTTCCAGTTCCAATGCCTTCTGTAAAGTTGACTTGATTTCCGAATTGACTAAAAACATGGGGTTTAGACATGTTATCTCTTAGATATATTTTGCGTTATACTATCCCCATGACGAATCGGCGTAGGAGATGTACCAAAACGCCGTCCGCGGGCGCCGAGCGGTGTCCGTCGGAAAGACGCATTAAAATGAGTCGCTAAAGGGGCATGTTATCATAATCCAATTGCTCCCATTTGGAGTAAATAAAACAGTGACGAAGGACGTGTCGTTTAATACTATTTTCGAGAAACCCAGCAGTCATGATCATGGACAGTCATCTTAGTCCAACACAAAATAGCGCATCGCGCCGACGCAGGAAAGGCGACGTTTGCATCGGAAATGGGACACCAAAGCTCCCCCTGAGAGCTCGGAATGGTCATGCAAGCTGGCCGACGGAGAAGAAGTATCATAAACGTAGAAAGTCTCGATCTCTCCTGCGTCGGTCGTGGACTTTACCGCTGATGCTCACGTTAGCGACCCTCTTTCTCTACGCCCCTAATCCGACGAGTTCTAACGTTATCCATCACTTTATCCTTCTATCTCATAAGGCAGACGATGTTGACGGCTCTCCACAGTACGGTAAAGGTCCGTGGGACCTTGCATTCGTGGGCTTCTATACCATACTCCTGTCCTTCGCCCGAGAATTCGTCATGTACGAGGTGTTACGTCCACTAGCTCGAAGTTTCGGCATCAAATCGCGAGCCAAGCAGTTGCGATTCATGGAACAGATGTATATCGCCTTCTATATCGCGTTCATGGGGCCGTTTGGCATGTACTGCATGAAGCAGACTCCAGTGTGGTATTTCAACACGAGGGGCATGTACGAAGGCTTCCCGCATAAAACTCATAACGCGAATATCAAGTTTTATTACTTATTTCAAGCCGCTTTCTGGGTGCAGCAGTCTGTAGTAATGCTGCTGGGTTTCGAACAGAGACGCAAGGACTTCAAGGAGCTCGTCGGTCACCATATTGTGACCATAGCCCTTATCGGCCTAAGCTACAGGTTTCACTTCACGTATATGGGCATTGCGATCTATGTCACACACGATATTAGTGACTTTTTCCTAGCTGTGAGTTAATTGAGCCATTGTGGCTTTCTTTCGCATCCTCTGCAGGGCTGTCGAGAAGATTTTCAGCTAACTCATATATGACCCTATAGATATCCAAGTCGTTGAACTGTACCGATAGCCCATATCAGGGACACTCGTTCAGCCTATGTATAATTTTATGGACTTATTTACGGCATTACATCAATATTCGCATCATATACTCACTCTTTAACGAATTCGGCACAATCGGACCTTACGAACTCGACTGGGAAGCAGAGCAGTACAAATCTCCTCTGTCAAATATTATCACGTTTGTTCTACTAGCATCGCTTCAGGCGCTGAACCTATTCTGGCTATACTGCCTTCTACGCAACGCCTACAGGTTCATCTTCTTGGGGATTGCGAAGGATGACCGGTCGGAAGATGAAGCACCGGAAACTGACGTCGGGGCATGCGAGAGGGACGATATAGATGATACTTTGCCGAGTCAGGGGGGAAATCTTCCTTCCCTAAACGGCAACACAAAATCTACATAGACATTAGAGAACTACAATACAAGATGTAAAAGCTGGATATCGATCCAGATATAATTGTTGGAAATGTATATATGCATCATCAGGGGCTGGTTACGGATGAATTCACTTTACACTGGATCTAAATCCCCTGGCCTTTTATGTCGTTAGAAAATTCCGATATACAGACATTTTTAATAAAGAAGAAGTAGGTGATATCTTGATCGCATTAGTTGTGTCTTATACACAGCCTACTCCAGGCGCCTTTATATATGTCTGACCGCGCTGAAGCATATACTGGCGTATAAGTCAAAGCACCCTTACAGGGGCCACCCTAGTAGGGGCTACCTTAAATTTTTAAACCTTCAAAATAAATATTTTAATTTTAATTTAATGTTATTTAATTAAATTAAATTTAATTAATTTATAATTTATTATATTTTAATAATAATATAGTCTTTTACTATCGATTTAATTAATAAAGTTTTATTTTTTAAATTAGTATTAAAATTGTTAATTATAATTATATTATTTAATTTCTAAGCTTTTAATTACTTTTTTTCTTTTATAATAGCCTTAATATTTACAAACGTTAAATTTGGATTAAATAATATCTTATGCCGTTTTTACGGTTTTATATTTATTAATACTTTTTTTAAATATTTAATGCAAGTTTTTATTATAGCTAATTTTATAATAACTTTATCGAAAATCTTATTAATCTTATTAAATAAAAACCTTACCGCGGGTTTAATAAATGTTATATTAATTTTGGATAATTTTTTAATTAAAATATTAATATTTTATAAATTTAAAAATATTATTAAAGGGATTAAGGCTATATTTTTAATAAAATTAAGTTTTTTTAGGTTAAAAATAAAGCTTGGAAGGGCTGAAATAATATCGAAAATTTTCTAAAACATAAATTGGTAATTTAATAATTTATTTCAATTTTTAAAATAAATTTTTATAGCTTTTTAATTAATTAATATATTATATTTAGTTAAACGTTTTTTTCGTATTATTTAATAAATTGTAATAAATTTTTTTTATCAAAATTAAAAATATAATATAATTAATATATTTTAATAAATTTATAATAATAATTTTATTTTATTAATAAAAATATATTTATATTAATAATTTATAAAATATATAATAAATATATTAGAATAAAAATAATATAAACTTTATTTATAAAGTATTTTTAAAAGAATTTTATTATAGTATGGTTATTATAACCGTTAAAAATTAATAATTGTTATTATTAACAATTTAATAGCTTTATTTTTTTTTAAAAAAATTTATAAAGCTATTTAAATGCAATATTATTATTAATTTAATTATTAAAAAATGTAATAAATTTTTAACCTTTAAATTTAACGTTTTTATTATTAAAAAACTATTATTATTATACGTATTTATTTATATATATAATAAAAAGATTTAAAAATTAACTATTATTATTAACGCATTTAATAATTAATATCTAAATTTTATTATTATAGTTTTTAATTATAATATATTTTTTATAAGTTTTATTAATAATTATTTTATTATTTTTAACTTTTTTTATAATTTCCATTTCGTTAACGTTATATATATATTTAACCGGGATATTCTTAATCTTAAAAGCTTTAAATTAATCGAAAAAAATATTAATATTATTAATTATAATTTTGTTAATTTATTTATAATCGATTAAATAAACCTTAACCAATTTAATATTAAAATAATAAAATAAAAATTGTATATATTAATATTTATTAAGAATATCGAACCGATAATTATAAATTAATAATTTTCTTATAATATTTTTAAATCGATATAAAAAAAACGCATAATTAATATTGAACTGGTGTGGTACCACATTGCCAAGAGCAAGGGTATTATTATGTAATCTTAAGTTACAAGCCATATAAAGGTTTAATATTTGTTGTATTCTTCTGATTAGATAGTTACGATTATTATTATTTAGTTATGTATTTAATATAGATATATTTGTTATTTTCTCATATTTATAGCTTATAGCTTTATTTTACGTATTTATCTTATATATTCTATCCGATTAGTAGATCCTTACAGTTCTTCTAGAGTATAGTGTTATTATTAGCTGTTTAAGGCCTTTTACAAGGATTTAAATGTTGAAGTGATATGTTATACTCTGCAGGAGATACCAACTCCTGTTCAATATAGCTTAACGTAATAGCCTAATTAATTAATTCTTTTTCTTAATATTTTAATAGCTTTTAATATTCTTTTAAATAATTATTTTATATTTTATAGCTTAATATTTGGTTCGTAAAATAATATCGTAATATAAAATATTTTTTAAACGCTTACCGTAAGGATACGCTATCGAAAACGTCGTTTATCGCCGCAACGCAACGCAATTAAGCTAAGAAAATAAGCATTTTAAAATTGTAAAAAAATAAAGATTTAAATAATAAATTTTATTTTTTAATTAACTAAAAACTAATAAAATTATATAATAATTTATATATAAACCTTATCGCAAACGCGTCGCGTTTTTAAGGTAGCCCCCACTAAGGTAGCCCCCGTAAGGGTGCTTTGACTTACCTCTACAAATCAAAGGCTGGCTATGCCGCACAAGGTACCCATGGCAGCCACCTCATACACCCGAGCTCAACTTATACGAATTACGCGTATTGCATGGGCCGGTTCCAAGTCAATACTCTATGAAAACTCCATGGGTGGATTCATGGCGTTTATAACCGATATGGAGAGTCTATAATATTGTTGTATTACGAAGTTGTAACCACCCAAATTATCGGATCACAGGCATATTTCCACTACATAACACCCAGCTGGATATCAATACCATAAAGAAAGTATCATAATGCTAAGATTTTGCCAAGTCCGTGAGCTAAGGTATTATTTCTAGCAGGATAAACATTGACTTAACGGCTTTGCTGCTACTTGAATATGCCTTCCATCCCGGTTGAAGACTGTGCTAGCCATACTACTGCCAAATCCTCGGCTTAAACAAGGCAGCCAGGTGCAGGTCGTCCGAAAGGTTCGGTCGGAATTAGAACATACGGGGGTTATCCCCGGAAGGATTATGTAGCGCTCGGAGGTTGTCCACTGCGGAGTTCGGCCGGGAGGGACGGACGAGTTAATACTTTGAGACATCCAGCTAACCCAATCGCTTTGATATAAGTAGCTTTCCAGTGTAGCGATAATCATGTGTCAACCAGCATATCCATCACACGTTCTGATATAGTAATATTTAAGAGTTACACAACATGAAGCCATCTGTAGTGTTACTGTCACTCCCTTGGGCTATATCAGTTGAAGCATCCGCTACCGGCCAACCGCAGCCACCTAAGTTTCAATGGACAGACCTCCCGGCTGTTGGAAATGGCGCTGCTATTCAGGAACACGGCACTACAGCGACCAATACTCATATCTATGTTCTAGGTGGCATTTCGCCTAATGCCAACGCCAGCATACCAGCGATCCAGTCGAGAGACACATTCGAGGCTTACTCGCTTGAAGAAGACACGTGGGAGAGTCTCACACCGATCCCGGAGGCTTTCACCCATATCAATGCCGCCGCTGTTAACGATAAAATCTACTTGCTCGGAGGTCTCACAGGAGATGGATCGGATATGGTGTGGCGGTCTTCACGCGACTGTTTCGTCTACGACATCTCTAAACGGACGTGGTCGGCTCTACCCCCTATGCCGGAGGGACAGGGCCGTGGGGCTTCAGCTGTAGGAATATCCGGAAATATCGTGTACTTAGCTGGAGGGTTGGATCGACTCGAAATTGGTGGCGACCAACTTACTCTTGATATTGTGACCGCATACGATACCGAAAAGGGTACATGGACAACGCTACCAAGTATTCCTGCCCCGAGAGATCACGTCGGGGGAGCAGTCATAGGCCAGAAGTTCTACGTTGTTGGCGGTCGCGATCACGGGCAAGTGGACGTGCGTAACACAACCTGGTCTCTCGATCTCAACGCGTCATCAAAGGGATGGGTAGCCCATGCCGAAATGCCTACCGCCCGCGGTGGACTTGCGGTTGGCGTCATCGGCAATTACATTGCAACTTTCGGGGGCGAAGGCAACCCAGAACCCGGGTCGAACGGCGTATTCAACGAAACGGAAGTTTACAGTGTGAAGGACGACGTGTGGTTCAAGCAGCCGGCTATGCGACACCCGAGGCATGGTACGGCGGCGGCCTCGGTAAACGGTCGCATCTACATCCCAGGCGGCGGTGTTGTTATGGGCTCGGGACCAGTGGATACGTTTGATTCATTCGAACTGAGTCCTTGATATAATATCGAGGTTATGGGAGGAATCGGGATGATTTTGTTTTGGCGCAGAATATGTTCAAAATATAAATATACTGTCATAGAGTCGGGGTTACTACATCTTATCCGATCCCAGTAATGTGGTAAGGGGTAACTACCTACGATTTAGGAAATGCTACGTATTTAATACAGGCAATACATAATTATAAGTTGTTTAAGGCAAAAATACTATATAAGTAAGCCGTGAGTATTGTCTAGAACTAAGAGAAATCGTCAGTCTTAGAGATAGTGTGATGTTACTTAAAACAGCATGTTCTCGAGAGAGAGGTTAGCCAGTCATTCTTTAAACTGAATGTTACCAGCTTAGAATACTAAATAGAATAACAAAGCTTCAGCGATGTGGAAATATGACTTAAAGATTAAAGTATCCTTTAAAAATGGCTAGTTATTTTAACGAGTAATCCTTGATTATGAAATGTTATATAATTAATACGTATTGAATAGACGTTAAATGAGATTTAATTTATTATATTTTTAATGATTTGATTAATTAAGGTAAAATTGTAGGAATGCGTGTTATACTGTTATTTTATATGAAATTAAGGATTTTTAAATTATTTAATATGGTTAATTAATTTAATATACCTTTTTAAATGTAACCGATAAGTTAATTTAGTTTAAAATATCTCAATATCTTTTTATTATTTAAGTTATTAATAATTTAATTTTAATTTAAAAAAGGCTTTTAATTACTTTTAATTACCGTTAATACGTATCTTTTATTTTATAACTATTTTATTATTTAATTTTTATAGCCGCTTTATTTATAAAATTTTTTAATATTTATTAAAACTAATTAAGTTTTAAATTATTTATATAAATCTTTTATAAAAATTTTAATAAATTTATTTACAATTATATTTTTTAAAATAACGTAATTTACTTTAATATAATTTTATTAAACCTTTTAACGCAATTAATAATTATATATATCCACATACTTTAATTTAATTTTTAATTTTTTAATATCTTTATTAATTAATTTAATTATTTATTTATTATTATAGTTGATTTTAATAATAAATTAATTTAAATTAATTTTAAAGGTATAAATTAATTTTATAACAAATATAACTTTTTTTATTACTTATAATAAAATTAATAATTTAGTTTTTATGGTAAATATAATTATTATATTTTATTTATTAACTTTTTAATTTATTATATTTTCAAATAATTTTATTATATATGTTTGAGAGTTTTTTCAATTGTGGATATTATTAATAAATAAAATATTACTTGTAATTTTAAAAATATTACCCCTTTTTAGTTATAACATATATCTTTATATGTATTTAAAGTATAAGATTATTCGATTTAATATATTATAATATTTTAAGCCAAGATTATAATTGAATTATAAAAGTTATAAAATTGTAAAAATTATATTTAAACATATAATTATTATAACATATAAAATAAATCTTATATGTTATTAATAACAATAAATATTTTTAAATAAAGCTATTTTTTTATAAAGAAATAATTTCTTTTTAATTATTAAAATATTTAAGATTTAATTTAAAAATTTTATAAAATTAATTATTTTATTAATATATACAAATTAATTTAATTAAATAAATTGCCTTTCTTAATTTTTTATTATTTTAATATTTAAAAATTACTATAAATTATTACCTCCGATAAATTAGTAATATTATTTAAAATTTTTAATAAAATATATTATTTTTTTTTTTAAGTTTTAAAATATATTATGATAATATTATTAACGTAAACAAATAATAAGATCTTTTTTTTAATAAATATATAAAGTTTTTTAAGAATAAATTTAAAACTTAAGGTTTTTAAGGTTTTAATTAATTTTTTTTACTATAATAAAAGGGATTTTTATAGTTTATATAATATTTTAAATAATTTAAAGATATTACTGAACTGGTGCTGGTGTATCAGGTGACCTTGATCCTGATCATGTAATTATATTCTTAGTATAAATACCATTTATGGTTGCATACACCCATTTTACATAATATCATCTACTTTTAATATAAGTCATTTTTTTTCATCATTAATTTCATCATTTAAAAATCCTTGATATCAGGTTTAATAAGGTTTGATCCAAGGCCAAGACGTTTAAGTCTTATTCATTATAATAATAAAAAAATTAAATTTTAAATTTCTGATAATATTAAAGATATTTTTTAATAATTTATTAATTATCTATAAAAGAATAACACTAATAACCAACCTTAATTTAAAATCTTTATAAAAAATAATAAGTTATAAGATTTATTAATTATGAAAAGTTTAATAAAATATTTTAACACTATACAAATTAACATACAAAAAGTTATAATAAAGTAAATTAAATAAAAATTAACAATTATTAAAAATACATTAAAAATATTATTTTATATAATAATATATAATAAACATATAATATACCTTAATTAACTTATTAAAATTAATTAAATTCAAACTTACAAATAGCCTTAACTTTTTAATTATTACATAAAAAGTTATAATTAAGTTAAACTTCCCCTTTTATATATAATTAATTATCCGTTTAATATATATTAATTTTATGATGTTTAAAGAAATATATATATACATTATATAATATCCTTATATTTAATAACATATAACATAACTATAGATAAATTCTTATATTATAATAAAATTCGTAACATATATATTATAAACTAATTAAATAAATAAAAATTAATTTAAAATATTAATATCCTTAATATAATCTAATTAATTATTAAATAAAAAAAAAACTATTAATATTATTATTTGCAAATATATTTATAATTAAAATATTAATAACTTATTTGTTAAAAAATAAATTAAATATTATATTAAAAGAATTGAAATTAAATAAAAGTTAATAATACTACGTTTTATTCCAATTAATTTAATACTTTAAAATTAAACCATTTACGTAATAATAAAAATTAACACTATAAAATTTAAAAATAATATTAAAATATTTAATTAAAATTTTCTTATTAAGTATAAATAATTCCTAAAAATAATAAAAAAAAATAATATTATTTATATAAAAGATATTATTTAAAAAGAAATTAATAACCAATTTAAAAATTTACTAATAAATATTAATATAATTAAATAATAAAAAAAACCAAATAATAAAATTATTAAAATTAAATATTTTAATAAAAATAAACTTAAGAAGATTAGTAATATTAATTAGTTGGAAATTGAAAAACCTATATTAATGAAAATTTTAAACATATATAATAAAGAATTTACGAAATTTTAAGAAAATAATGAACAAGACTTAAACGTCTTGGCCTTGGATCAAGCCCTATTAAACCTGATATCAAGGATTTTTAAATGATGAAACTGATGAAGGAAAGGAATAATTTATATTAAAAATGGATGATACTATGTAAAATAGATGTGTGCGACTATAAATGGTACTTATACTAAGAATATAATCATATAATCAGGATTAAGGTCACCTGATATACCAGCACCAGTTCATTATTAATATAAAAACTAAATTATTAATTATAATATAATTATATATTAAATAATATAACCTATTTTATAAATAAAACAAAATAATTTAAAAAAAATTCAATTAATCAATCTTAATTCTAATATTAAAATATATTAAAAAGCTTATATAATTAACTAATTAATCATTATAACTACTTATTTACGTCATAAAAAATAAATATTATATAAATAAATTTATTTTAAGCTTAAACTTTATTTTTTAAACATAAATAAATATAATAATTAAAAATAATAAGATTTTAATAAGAATTATAACTTTTGGTTTAATAATAATTAAAATATCTTTATTACTTAAAAGTTTTATTAATTAAGTTTTAAAAGATTTTATCAAACCATATTATATATAAGAAAGTTTAAGGCTATTAATAATAAAAGCTTAATTAATGGTATTATAAAACCTATTAATTTAAATAATTTATTAATTAATAAATTAATATATAAAATATTTACTAAAATTAATATAATTATAATAAATATTAAAATAAAATTAAATTATAACTAAACCAATTCTAATATTAAAAATATCTATAAAAAAAATATAATTTTTAATAATTAACCTAAGATATCCTATTATTTAAAAGTAAATTTTATCGAATAAATTTTATAAAATTCTAATTATAAAAATAAATACCTATTTTATTTAGAGGAAGACGAAGAAATTAAAATAATATTATTTAATGATTAATTTTTTACGTTTATAATAAAAGCCTTACGCAAAATATAAAAATAATTTAAAAAAAAATAGCGAAGGATATAAAGACGTTTTAATAATCAAATAATTTAAATTAATATAATGTATAAAAATAAATTTTAAAAAATTTACCTTATTAATAATATATTATTTAATAAATTAATATTATTTAAATTATTAAATTAGAAGGATAAGATATTTAAAAAAGCCTTAAAAAATATTAAAGTCTTAGAATTATTTAAAATAAATAGTTTATATTAAAATATTATTTTGTGATTTATTAAAGAATTATAAAAAATATAACTTACCTTTAAATAATTTAAAACCTTAAAAATTAAATTGTAAGATATAAAATTTATTAATTAAAAAAAAATATTTATTAAAATATTATATTATTAAGAAATAATTTTAAAATAAAACTTTACCAAATTAAAGAAAATCAAAAATGAAATTGCGCTATTATATGTAATTAAAATAATTTAATATAAAATTTGGTAAGTTAAAAATATTTTAATTTTAATTTTATTAAAAGATTAAATAATTAAAATCTTATAAAATAAAATAAAAATAGAAATTTTAGAAAAAAGTTATAACCTTTATTATAACGCCTAATTTATTATTAAAAAAAAGAACAATAAATTATAATTAATTAACTTTATTATTAAATTAAACGTTTAAATAATTAAAGATGCGTTTTTTTTAAAAGATTGTAATATGTTTGTAAAAGAATTTATTACCTATATAATACTCTTATGTATAAACTTATTTTTAAGATATAATTAATTGAATTTATTAATATACAACCAAAATATAATAATATTTACTATTCTAATTAATTTTTTAAAATTTATTACAATTTTGATAAAAATAATAAATTTAATTATATATTTTTTTAAAATTATAAATTATATATTATATAACTTAATTTTAAACGTTTATAAACCATTTTTTAATAATATT